AGCAACTAGAAATGACATGACATACGTATGTGGTGGAAATGGATGAAGCAACGGAACAACGTACGAGCCAATGCAAAGCAGCACAGCGTGCCCGAACGCATGTATGAAGAAATCGAGGCGGAACGGTAAGACAATGCCCACATCCCAACAAAATTCAGAAGAAACGAAACTAAAAGTCGTGACCGGGTAATTATTTCCCCGGCAACTTTCGCTCCAAGAGCTTCTAGACTCGCTTCTATTGTAATTTCATTGCACATAGACAACACTTGGGAAGACTTCTTGGCTATAAGATTCGATGGTTTTCACTACCCAGAAACCGCCGTCCTCAAGAGGGAAAACGAGGTACATACCGTTCGAGCTTCTTTGTATAATGGCTACGCACTGGCGACGTGGTTTTTTGGGTGGTTTGGGGTAGAGGAACCCTCTTAGATTGACCACTTCTCTGAATGATGCATGCAAGAGGATTCCAGAGAGAACTTTCTTGGACTTTCGGAGCTTCCGGTGCTTCTTTGTTTCACAGGCGCGGTCTAATTTGGTACACTCCTGTAGAGCTTTAGGATTAGATCCTGGGCTCATGACTAGTTTCTCACCTACCAAGTGTTTCCGTCCGCGTGTAGCGGGCCGTAGCGGCAAACGAGCGATCATGCGACCAACAATCGAACAGTATGTTTTTGAGTTTTGATCTTCTTCCAATAGTTGCCAAGGAGGAGGAAGGGCACCCTCCGCTCTCATGGAATCCACAAGAATGTTCCCTTTGTAGGAATGTTATCCAAAGCAGGAACCCCTGTTTTCGTGAGGTCCCATGCTTTTCTAAAGTGATACGGCCAAGCGTTTCTTTCTTGGGAGGCTTGATAGGGTCAAGGAACCTGATATACCTTGTGTTCACCAGCTACTGTGAAGAGAATGCCAACTGGCACACTCACCCAATTACTATGCAATTGCAGGAATACTTTCCACTTACTGTGAAAAGGAGGATCAATCAAGACATGGTGCTCAACATGGGCTTTTGAAGAGTTGGCCTCAACAGAAATCCCTGCGTAAACGCTACTTACCAAAGGCTTCCCAAGCAGGTATGTAGCAAAGTGAGGGTTCCCTAACCAATGCAAAAGCAAAACATGGGCATCGTGAAGCAAAGATTTGAGAACAAGGAGTGGGCATCCACCGGAGCCGGGCTTCTACATGCTAGAGCTGATCCCAAAGGCGCCGGGTATGTGAGGGCAAGCTGGCCCAGACGGAGTTTTTCTGGCGTCCCCTCCAAGAATATGTTCTGTTCGAGGGCAGACTGAATGTGAACAAATCAGAGCATATTGTGGGCCAATGAATGGTGTGGTTTGGGGGTTGTTTGGAATGGGCACAAAGAGAAAACCACAGAGTTTAGGGCTTTCCCTTGTTTCAGACAAATGGAGAATAGGCTGGCGCTTGGACTAGCACAGTGAAACAAGGGCAGGGAGCACGCCGCCAAGACCAAAAATAGCCAAGTACGCTGATTTCACTGCGTTGAGAGTGTATGAGCTAGCGGTCTGGTTTGTCAATATTGCGTTGCAGTAGATGTTTTGAGAAGACAACGAGGGTGCTTAAGCCTATCGAATAACACATAAGAGCCAGAAGCCTATGTTTGAGCTCAGTTGTTAGTAGAAGGGATCAGGTACATGGACCAAATTGCTACTAGCAAATGGGGCCTGCTCATCAACTGAAACCGCGCACATGCGAGTAGGAAGAGAAGGAGACCACGGCTCGGAGACGACACAACAAACACGCGTGTGGGTATGCCAGGGATGCAGAGTCTTGCGGCATCTTGCGGCCATGTCTTCACCTTTTTCCACTTGCCACGCAGCTGTCACAAGGTGACAAGCACTGCTACCCAACAGGTGGGCAGGGCACGCTCAATTTTTGCCTACAAGGAATTGCTTAGACTCATTGAGTCATTTGAATCTGGCTTTCAGCAAGACGAAGGACGGCCGGAGAGCTGACTCTTGGTGAGGAAGGCCAGACCAGGCGGTCTTTCGGCACGTGTGCCGTCTCCAGCAGGCCCGCCTTGAAGGGAGGGCCACGCGGCGCCTTTGGCGGCTTGTCCTTTTGCGGGAGCCTCGACAGCAGCCTGGCACTGAGTATCGGGACAGATTGGCGTTTGTGATTGATTTGTTGTACTTTTAAAGGACCAGGAATCCAATTATCTTGGGGTTAGGGCCAGCTGGAAGCGACCCCGAATGGCCCAATTGAAGATTGTAGTAAGGTTGGTTAATGTAGGCTAGCTTCAGAGCGCCTTAGTGCAGCTACATTGGATTGACGTGCTTCGTCCGTTTCTTAATGGCAAGAATGTGAAGCAACAGAAGGGTCTCAAAGTTTCGAAACAGTCAGGTTTTCTACTCTTGCATTGCAGTCGGAATTGCAAGGCACGTTCATCAGACGTCTCGACTCCGCTGAACAAAATGAAAGACACCTCGTGTGATAAAAAAGGGCCGCAGCGCCACAGCTAATAACTGGTGATTGCCTTTTGCTTAGCATTTTGAGCACATCTGGGAGTTGAAATGGTGGCGTTTGTTTTGCGACCGCTGCGCAAAATTCACCAAGGCGGTTTGCCCACAGTCCATAGTTTGAAGATGGTGCACCTGTCCACTCAACTTTCATTCCTCGTCTAACTTTCTCAACTCAGGGAATCTTGAGAAGACTACGTGAAAGGGACTTCAAAAAAGGCTGTTTGTATGTCCCAATGAATTTGAATCCAGGTTTTCTTCAATGCCCTTGGTTCGGCGGCTCTTGGCTTCACTTTGTTCGCAAAGAGCGGTCAGGTTTGTACGAAGGGCGAAGACTTCTCCAAAAATGGACCTCCGGCCTGCTTGTTTGGAGCTATCTTTCGGGGTTCTAATTTGTTTGTTCTTGTTCGTATCAACCGGCCCATCATCTTGTCACATTTCCCCGAGGTTTAAAGAGGACAGCTTCCATATTCAAACAGTGCTCCACTTTTTTTTCCAGTTCTGCGTGTTTCTTCCATTCCCCTTGTTTCCTTCGTGGTTCCCGGCCATCCGTTTCCTTAGGTGTTTTAACTTTTTGCTGGTTTCCATTAAATTAAATTCACTGAAGTTATTCACGTTTAGCAATCAGATTGGGCAGCTAATGTGTTCAACTCCCTTTCCATCCTTTGTCCACGGTTTCCCTTTTCCCAGATGCTTTCGACTCCACGCACGCGGAACGCCGGGAGGCGTTGTCCGAGAGCTGCATGGCCAGCGCGCTCGGGGAGCTGCGGGAGTGCTGCTGGGCGGCAGGAGGGATGGAAGTAGTTACATGGGTATGGGTCAAAATCAAGCCACCAGGAATTGGACCTGTTTGGCTTGAGTCTTTGGTTCAGGGCAAGCCATTTTGCATACCTGTTTTTTGACCCGCAAGCACATCAACAAACCAACTATTTGACTGGCTGGCTGGCTGGCTGACTGGCTGACTGGCTGACTGACTGACTGACTGACTGACTGACTGACAAACTAGCTAACCAGCCAACTAGCTAGCTAACATGCCAACTATCTAAACGAGCAAGTAAGCAAGTAAGCAAGCATGGAACTAACTAAATAAACAAACAGACAGACTGCCAACGGAAGCAGACCATTTTAGGGCCCGAATTGAAGTCCGAATTGAAGTCCCGATAAAACCGTCCTGTCAATTGAATCTCCACTTGCAGGGGTTATTAATCAACCCCAGCTAACCAAGAAAACCAACCACGAACTAAGCAAATTAATGAAGTGACCAACTAGTTAATTAGTATTTGAAAATTTGGCTGACTGACCAAGATGAGCTTCCTGAACTGCGTCGTTCAGTTACTCATATCCGACAAATCATCGGTAGTCTTCAGTGTTTTTTGGTGCACTTTTGAGGATAGCAAAGTCCGCAACCGAATGGGGAATCACCCAAAACCGACCCCACCTTTTAAACCACAAAACACGGACAGCTGATAGGGGACTGCCAACTTCCTCTTGGCATTGAGTGTAGCAAAGGATGTTTTCCAATGACTATTCTTGATTCTTGATTCTTGATCCACAGCCCGCACACCTACCTCAAGAGAGGTTAAGTGAGGGGGCGCAGTGGGCTGCGCCATACCCCCAGCGGATGCTAGCAGGTCGTTGCAGCGCACTTAACGTCAGTTTCCCTCAGTCACACTGCAGCGCCGTGCAGGCCCGTCGCATTACAAGTCCGACATACCTAATTCTTGCAGTATCCACCTCAAGACCGCAAACAGCGCAATTGCTGGAATGACTTGCCGTGGATCCTAGGTAGTTACGGTTGCGCTCGTTGACTTGGTTTCGTCGATTCTGCAACAACTTTAAGCCAATGCTCCCAATAAAGTATTAGGCGAAGCAGCTTCTGAGCTTCTCCATGGCACGAGCTGGTAAATTATTTGCTTCAGATGCGCATTTGCATCCCAATTCTTTGTCGCACGGACATTTGCGGTACAGCTGGGAGGGCAAACAAACTTTGAAGAACTGCAGTCTCTGTCAGAGGCCTGAGTTCCACGAGCTTGACAGCTTTGCAGAAGTTGGCCGTCTGCTGGGAATATGGACATGAGTTGTTTGTACAGTCACCAGCACGGATCCTATAGGGAGGGTGGGAAATGATTTCGTTTCCCATGTCAACTTGTAGGTCTGACAGGCTTGCTCCAATCCTCAAAACCAATCACCAAACCACAAGGACGAGCAATTTGTGTTGGCCTTTGGGTTTCTGGAAGTTGCTGTCACATTCCTGCGGGAGGCGGGTGCTGAGTTGCTTTTTACAAGAAAACCGCAATGATACCCACCCACTACGGCTTCCAGCAGCAGTCGAGAGGCATTCCGAAACCTCAGGGGTGTGTTGTGACAAAGAGCACGCCTGACTTTGCGTAGTCATAGAGATGGCCCACTTGTCACAAGGGGCCCGTTGGCCACAGCCGTGGCTTAGAACGTGCTTGCGAGGTCGGCTGGTGCAAGCGTTAGTCCTGCAAGGGCGGCAGCCGGCACAGCAGCCTGGCGATGCTGTTAAAAGATGACAGAAGCACATGGTAAAAAAGTTTAGGCTTTTTGGGCCAATCCACTCAGGCTGTCAGGGGCGCTTGTCTTTATAAAGGAGCCAAGGTTCTACCCTGCCAAGTTGGAGCAAGCCTGAAAATTCAAGTACTGTGAATGTGAAGCACGATGGATGGTGCCCAGAGATGCAGGTAAATGAGGGGTGAGGTGATGTGCGCTTTCAAAGCCGCATGGGGTTTCGGCTGTTTCTTTGAGGGGACGCTTTTGGGGTGGCTTCAATGGGAAACCAAAAGGAACACCGAGGCCATTTGGGGGTCGAATTCCGATTTTGACACACGCCAATTTTGAAACAAAACCCAAGTGACTTGGGGCGAGCGGAATTTAGCCTCGGAGCCATTTTCGTGCCTCCTGTTGAGACACACACTAGACGGATTTGGAGCTGCTCTAATGTTGCCGTTTAGTGTTCGGTTCGCGCAGATGTGTGACCTCACTCCCTCAGCTCATGGAGTTTGTACACTTTGGGAAGACATTTTGGTGGTAAACCTTGGTGTTTTGGGCCAATCCCCTCACAAAGCGAGGGACACTGCATAAAGACAAGCCCACCAGTTGGTGAAAGCAGGTTAGACTAACAGATAACTCTGGCCAAATGGGGCCGGTGTTTCCTCTGTCCTTTGGAACCAATTTTCAGCCCTTTAAAGTTATGGCCAAACTTTGTTAGAATTTAATCCCTCAACGAGGCAAGTCCTTCAGCTTTCGAGTGGGTGCCAGGCCTGGATCCCTGGGCCATACTGTGGATGGACAAAATCCTGCACCACTTTGAAACCATGGGAAACCATTGGTTGGCATTTGGAGGGGAACCATCATTCCAGGGTTTCTTAGGTGGTGCAGGACTTCGTCCATCCACAGTAGGTAACCAATTGTTTAGCTAAAGCGCAGGGTTTGCCCTTTGACCACAGCATCCGGTTTCCTGCTTCAGGGTTGGCATGTTTTTGTCTTGCTCATCTGCTAGGATTTCCAAAGCTTCTCCATGGGCTTGCCGATGGGCAAACAAGTGTCTTTCTAAGGGGCCCCCGTTTTTTGTTTTCTTCCTTTTGAATGGGTGCTTCCCAAAGACGACACACCCATATGGTTTCGTATTCCTCAGGTCCCGACTGTTTTAGTCCACATTTTCCGGAGACCCCGGCTGAAGTGCCCTTTTCCCCCGAGAGTTTCCCAGCTTCCCCACCAATTCCCAGGTTCCTTGACCATTTTCCCATGGCTTCAGGTTTTCCCATAGGCTTCCCCCAGAGTTTCTCGACATTTTCCAAGAGATTGTCCCACGAGTCAACCAGGTTTCCGGATGAAACCCGGCTGCCCGCATACACCCGGCCCACGTTCTGGCCGAAGGCTGCCGGAGCCGACGGTGGATTTGTCAGCCTGGGGCCTCAACGCCTCGCAGCAAAGCGCCGTGAGTTTCGCGCTGCGCCAGCCGTTGGCGCAGGTGCAGGCGATGGATGCGGGCGGTGGTTGATGTTTTGCGGCGGGTTAAAAATGCCTCCCTAAAGACTTCGGGGGAGGGGAGGGGAAGGGGGAGGGGTGGTGGCCCCCAAGCTTTTTAGGAAAACAACTCCATGCTTTGCACATGTTTTAAGGAGTTGCTGGGTGCTAAATCGCCCCTTAAGAGACAAAACAGCAAAAGGACACCAAAAGGGGGGTTGGTCGGTGTTTGTTTGTGTATGTGTGTGTGTGTGTGGCCCCCCTGTTTCTAAGGGGTTCTGCGGCTGTGTCTATTTTTGGAGTCGGATGCCACCGCAATGGACCTCTGCTCGTGGAGTACTTGGTGTGGCAGATGGCATCCCTGATGAGGGCCACACGAAGGAAAGACGTAGCATGTACGTTGTGCCGAAACTCCACTTTCCGCTTTCCGCTTTTTCCGCTTTTTCACCTTTCAGTTGCTCGGGGGTGCACCATGGCAGTTTCGCCGTCTCATATCAAGTGTGTTTAGGCACTGCGTCCGGGCTTCGGTCAGTGTCTTGATCCCCTTTGCGGGCACCTGTCATGACCCATGTATCGACACCTTCTTCAGACAACCACCGGACCTTGTCGCTCGCGACTCTGGACTTTTTCCATAGACCCTTCGCCACAGGCTTGGACATGTCCCGGACGTTTCAGCACCCCAGATTACTTCATGGTTGACCTTCCCAGTTGACCTACTGCCAGACTACCTGACATATCAGGCATGAATCCATGACGCCGTCAGTTTGCTCTTGGCTCGCAAATGCCACGACCCAACGCAGGTCCGATGTCGAACTCAGCAGGCCCCATGACCAAGGCATCCAGGAACACTGCGGGTCCTACGCCACCCAGATCACCAGTGAGCCAGACAGCATCACCGAGCAGGAGTGCACTTGTGACACCGACCTCCAGCATCTCTGGCACGTTGTCTAGCACGTCCAGGGCTACCAAACCTTCGGTTCCAGCCCTTGCTCCCGGTGACGCCTCGGCATCGATCCCTGCTTCCCCTACCTGGCCTGCATCCGTTGCTGGCCCACTGCCGCAAATCCTGGTGAAGGCGCGCCCAGCAACCCCGATGACTCCAATGACCCCAATGACACCGACTACCCCAACGGCTCCAGTTACAGCATGTCCATCTCAGACCACCGCACCGACCCCTATCGCACCGACCCCTACGGCAACTCCATCAGGTCAGATGCTGCCACCGACCAACCCACCGGCAAGATCACGCCACGCAACGGAGGGAGAACCGTCACGTTCCCACAACGCATCCCCCTACTCCAAGTCAGTGCCTCCACAGCGTCGCAGTCGAGCTCGCTCCAGGACGCCACCACCGATCTCCCGAAGGGACGCAAAATCGGATAATTCAACCACGGCAGCACCGGCTCTCGCCGCTTCAGCGCCCACAGCAGCTAAATCCTCATCCCGAGTGCCTACGGCAACTAAAGCTTCATCCCGGCGGCCGAGAAGCAACAGATCTCCACTTCCGCGCAGCAGAAGCAGTGCCCCATCGGCTCCAGCCTCCAAGGCCACCGGCGACCGGTGCTCATCCAGTCACGGAGTCATCCTCGAGAAGCATGCAGCTGCGTCCCAATCCGCAGGCGCACCCACCGCTGATCCTGCTTCCCAACCCGGAGTCCGACCCGTGGAGGAACGAACTTCAGGTGCTCGCCTCGCCGTACGTCCGCGACGAGATCCCGGTTAATCAGGAGCAGATGGACTATGTGGCCGCTACTCTAAATGCAGCAGGAATACCATCTCAGCACTCCACCCTGAACTATGCCAAGGTCAACCCGGAACATCACTACTCCAAGACTCCAAGATCACTCCACACTGGTTCATGCTGACCATCCCCTACCTTGGCGCCACAGTTCGGCTCAAGGAACCAACGAAGACGCGGCCCATGCTGCTCTGGACCCACGCATCCAGTGTCGGCGGCACCAGAGGCATACTACGAAGCCGGCAGATACATCCTTCCCGGCAGCACTCCTCGGAGTGCCCAGCCTTTTACGCCTAAGGTTGGAAGATCACTGGACACGCCGATTACGATGCTGAAGAAATTGCCCGCACGATGAGCCAGAATTGGAGCATGTCTTTCAACATGGCCCAACTGCTGCTGTTTGGGCGCGCTGTCGGTACCTGTCAGCCGATTCGTTCAGGAGGAGAGCAAGCTTGCATTGAGGCCTTGGATTCCAGTGAACGTCCTGACGTCATCCACTATGTGTCGGGCAAGTGTTGGATGGTGATTCCAGAAGCAAGCCAGATCGTTGGATTCGGTTTCGCCTACCGACGCGAAACCGCCCACAGGTGTCCTCCGCTCGTGAACCTGCACCAAGAGCTGCTGCACCCGATGACAATTAATGATGTTTCATTGCAAATAAGAGCATTCTTCGCCACACTGCCGTCTTCGACCGCCGACGATATTTTGCGACAAAAAGTGCACGCTAGGGCCTTATGACTCAAGCACGACTTTATTTTGTTGGTCTTCTTGAGGTTTCTTTTGCATTGTGCTGACCTGGTGTGATGATCGCTGTTTCTCGTTTATATTAAAGGCTCTGGCCCTGGTTGCTAGCGTTTAATCAATCAATCAGCAAGTGTCAAAGATGAACCCCCATCCCGTGATGGCTTCTCAGTGGACCTATTCGTGGCCGGCGACGTCGGCACCCTCCTCCTCGCAGCCGGGGTCCTCGTACCTTCCATCATGGTCAGTACCGCAGTCTCAGCAGGAAGCCTATTCGAGCTCCAATCGGATGGAATCCATGCAGAGGAAGCAGCACCCCGGGTCAATCCTCCTCGGCCTCCACATATGGCTCACCAGTTCCCTCCTCAGCCTCCTGGTCAGTTCTACAACTATCATGGCGGTGGCACAACCCACATGCAGACAGGTCCTCGGCCCCCACCACCAGCACCACCAGTTCAACTTCAGGCCCGTGCACCCCTAGGCCAAGGCGATGCAACGCAGTACACTCAGCCTCGATATTCGCAGCTACTTCCTAGCACCTTTCAATCTGATGACATCTTCCTCGACAAGACGGAAGTCCGCGGCCTGCAACTAGACCGTCACATTCAACCCACTCAGTGGTCCAGAAGAGTCGGGCTCGCAGGAACAGCAATCTTAGATCTCCCACTGACACGTCTTCTTCGAGGAGGAGCAGAAGATCACGCACTCCGAGCACTGTCGAACGGGCGATACAGTACACCGGTAATGGCTCAGACAATAGCCGAGGCGGTGTTATTGACATCAATTCTCAAAGCCTTGCGAGGCAGGGAGGTCGACATCGGCCGGACGGCCCGCTCCCTCCACGCGGACAATGCGCCGGACAAGCGCAACGAGGCTATGCAGTTTATGGAGCCACTTGCGCTCAAAATCGTGGATCTCATAGAGTCGCTGCAGCCCGCCAAGCAGGAGAACCTCACTCGCCACAAAATTGCGGAATTGGAACAACAGCTTGAACGCTACAAGAACAAAGGCATCGCTCTCACACCGGACAAGAAGCAGCCATCCTCGTCTCCTTCCAATACCGCATCATGGACTCCCACACCTGGCCGCTCTGACCAGTCCCTCTACATCAACGCGGCGATGTCGGATGCTCAGGGACCTCCCCTACCAGTTCCATCTCCGGAGGCTGATCCAGCTCCCAAAAGACGGCCGGCAAAGCGCAAGACCCCGGAGGTTGCCCCGGACATCACACTAGATCCAGAACTTCTGCGTCAGGGCAATCCCAAGGGCCAACAGGTACCACTTCCCGCCAGCCTCACGGACAAAGTCTTCAAAGCGTGGTTGCACGAACGCACGCTGTCCAACCAAGCGAATTACCTCGATCTCATCAAGCAGGAGCTAGCATCAGACACGGTGGAGCAGCTGAAAACCATTGCAGTCAAGTGGGGCGCCACCATCTCCTTGGTGAGCAAGGGATCGAAGCGAGCACTCCTACAGTTCATCACGGTTTTGTACATGTATGGAAAGTGAGAGGCGAGATTGTAGCGCTCACGATGGAGGAAGTGAGCACGCTGTGAAACGACTGGCACAAAAGGCCCTGCTGCTCGGTGCGCTTGAACCTTGCCCTGAGCCCATCAGTTGGCGTTTCTCTTTCCCTTTTCGTTTTCCTGGTCGTTTTCTTTTTCTCTTTTAGGATCCTGGGGTTACGAGCCGGTGTCGTTCTAAGTTGATCCACTTAACAGTTCAGTGCTCGAGCATGTGATGCATGGCTAAGCCATGCCGGTCATTCAATCTCCGGAGACGGTGTTTCTTTTGCAGCTCTACGGCAAGTATGAACGGTCAGAACTATGCGGTGCCGCCAGACACTATGGTATTCCTGAGCCCATGTGGCCAGTCAGCCTGCAGCACGGCACCGACTATTTCCTTCCCTACCTCACTCGGCGATTCACTCGACGTCCACGCATCCTATCAATATTATCAGGTCCTCTATCTGATCATCATCACAAGTCGCAGAATCCTCAACATGCCGATGGTCAATAAGCAACTATCTATGTGGGCCGAGTCCCTGTCCACACTGCTCATGGTTCATCACTACGGTCGTCCCACGCATGCACTTACAGAACTCAGGCGCCGACTACGACGTTTACGCATCCACCCGAACATGTACACCTTCACCCACTTCTCGCAGCCCAATGCGGTGTACTGGAAGCAGCGAGTTGAACTCCGCCCGGACCTTCCACGCTCCGTCAACCCGCAGTCTGATGTATACATTGGCAGCTCCAGCATCACTTATCCCAGTCGAGAACACAATCGTAGAGCCAAGTTGCTGGGTATTCAACACGGACAATTTATCAATGCGGAACCAGCACTCAGATGGTGGCATCACTTTGACAACTATGACGAGTTTGCTACTTGGGTTATCCTGACAGACCCCGACCACAAGGTCACCTGGACTCAGGAACATGCCTTGATCAGCATTTATCAGCCGTCGCTTAATTGGCCCTACATTCATCGGCGATACAAGCGCATCTCCACCGGCTACACGGCCACCAGGTTTCTTGCAGAACAACCCTGGTCCAGGTTCGGCAAACGCCTTTTCCTCCGGTTGCGCAGAAGGAGTTGCACAGTCTATGGCAGGAACTTTCATCGAGTGGCGCTCAAACACACTCAAGCCTGGTCCATCATCGCCCGCCTCACCTCGGAGCACATTGAATCCTGGGAAGAAGAAAAACGACTCCGTAGTGGACGGCACTCGGACTTGGACATCTATGCCATCTACAGGTTGTCTGGTAATGTGGAACAGCCTCATCGGCATCGAGTTCGCAACATTCTCCGACGAGTTCTTAATTTCCGTCAACTTCAGCAACCCAGGATCAATTTGTTATTGCGATTACCGTTGCTGTCCCACCCACATTATCAACGGACCACCCGAGAAGTTCTTCGTCGTCTCGTCATCGACCACCGCAACTGGGCCCTTCCATTCCACTTACCCAGTACGAAGCTGGCCAAGACTCCTCACCCTCGAGTCCACACAGTCATGTGGAACTTCTCGTCATTTCAGGACTGCTACCCCTTGACATCCCCAGGGCCATCATCGTGCCAATGCGAAGCCTGGCTAAAACGTCAGCCCTGGCTATCCCATGTTCAAGGTCATGTGGCAGCGGGATTAGATGAGTTCCGGTTTCCCGGAACCCCCCATCACGTTCACTACACTTCAGCACTGGCGTCGTATTATGTGGACTTCGCGGTCTACGAAGTGCAGGTTCATGAACGCTTACGGAAATGGTGCTTGCATCACGGACTCCCCCTGGACCAGTTCCACGCACCTCTCATGGAGCACCTACGCAATCAATTCCAGCAACATCGGCAGCACGCATCCACCCATCAGCTCCGTACCAAGCATCAACTCAACATCCTGCATCGACACCTCGGCCAGGACTTTGTATGCCACAACGAGGATCACGACAACCACCACCTCATGTTCTTCTGCCCTCAACTCTACTTCAAAGGCCTCCACAACACCTGGCTTCAGTCCGGCACCTTTGCAGCTACTCCACTGAAGCCCGATCAAGCCGGGGCCCTTATTCTTGAAGCCATTCCGCGGCACCTGCAGAAGCGGTACAAATGGGCGTACAGGAAGAAGACCACCTCCATCCCGGTTGGAAAAGTTTTTCTCAAGCGCAAGAAGCAATGGAAGTCGGGGCGGACCATTATAGCCTACCATAAGGTGGTACATAGGCAGCTCTTCAAAGCAGTCGCAATCCTTCTCGGCGAGATTGCAGCCGACACATGGAAATGTTCATGGGGGATACACCCCACACCGAGGATATGGCAGAACATCAAACAGTACTTCGACAACACAGACGATACAGTCACCCTTGCCTTCCACAATGACGATTTGGTCGGATTCTTCAATAGTGTCCCTCAGGATCAAGTGTGTGCAGCGGTCGAGCAGCTATTAGCCGAGCACCAGCGAGGGCGACCCGGTCTCGTGTATTCAGTGGAAACCCAGGCAGCTGTCCACTACAATCGAGTGTTTGCGGGCAAGCAATCCTACGGACGTACACCGACCACGCGTGTTATTTACATGGAGGACATCCTGGGTATCGTCAAGTCCAGCTTCCAATGCATGTATGTCCAGGTTGGAACTCTCATCCTGCGCCAAGTCCATGGTACAGCGATTGGCTCTCAGCTGAGCCCAGTACTCAGCCACATATGCGTCGCGAGGCACGAAGTTATCTGGCAGCGTATCTACGGACAATGGTTTACCAGTCACAACATCTTTTTGGAGCGATATGTGGACAACAGATTTGTCATCTTCCCGTCTCCAGCCTCAGGTCACCCGGCAGCTCCATTGGAGGCTCTGCTTCAGGCTGACTTTTACGGCGCTCCCATCGTGCTGGAACAGGTGGGGTCTTCGGAGTTCCTCGGCTTCGTCATCGATGTGGGCGACCGGGCGATTTACTACAAAACCCCAAGCAAAATCTGGCAGATAAGAGGACCGCACACTGCAGGAAGCCTCTCCACCCTTCTCTCCGGGGCCAGATCACGGTCAGCCCTCGCCACCAAGTATGCGCACCCAGCCAGAGCAGTACAGATGGCACTGGATCAGCTCCGCAGTATTTATCTGTCCGCGGGCTACAAGTTAGCTGACCTGCAACACCTGTTTCATCTTTCGGCGATCCCAACCAGAAAGAACCTTTAAGCGCCAGTTTGTCGCCGCTTTTGATGTTAGGCATTGTGGCTCTCCTTTGTCTCTTTTCGGTTTTTCTCCGGGCCTGTTTTGGCTCGTCTTGGCTTCTGCGTTCTGGCGTCAGTGTTTCTCTTTGGTTTTTGGTCCTTGATTTTTGTGTTGATCACGCAGCTCATTCACCGGTTCAAACAGTATTGGCCTTCTCGCCGATCTCAGAGAGCTGTCGCCATGCTCGGCCGCATGATAGCACTTCATTATCGCATGACCCAGAATGCTGCGGATATGATGCAGCTCATCCAGGAGACCTTGAATCAGGCTGACGAGGCACACAGTCGCCGGCACCATGACGGGCAAGGTAGCTTGCAGCAACAATGTGTCCGCGGCTGGTCGCTGGCAGAGTCATCGCGGCCACGAGCACTTGCTCCTGCTGGAGTCGATGAGGTCAACCCACCTGGCCCGGTCCCCGACCGACCCTCCGCCACACGTCGGCTTCCAGCCGCTCCAGCTACACGCAGACCACAGGCACAACGTGGTGGTCAACCCCAAGTCGCTGTCCTATGGCATCATCGCGGGGGACACCAACGATTCTATAGACCCGCGCTCGAAGAGTCCCATGGTGCACGATTATGTTGGCCAGCCGGGCATCAAGAAGGCCAACATTCCCCGCTCCATCATGGACAAGAAGGGTACTGATCGACGCAGAACCAAGCGGAAGAGATGCCGAGCTACATCTTCCGAGAACACGAACTCCCCGGAACCTCCGGCACGTCCAGCGCCTCGCACTCCAGCCCCGGCTCCGGTCTCTCCTTGCGCTGGCCTGTTCTCCTCTCCTGAATCCCTTCCCGAACCTCCTGCTCATGCTCACTCCGATGCCGGCAACCCAGGAACGTACCTCGTGCCTGGACAGAAGAAGATGACCAGCAGCTTTGCAGCCTGAAAGCGGACAGCCGGTCCAAGTACTCGTGCAAGTCGCTGGCCAAGAAGCTCAACCGGTCCATCGCGGATGTCACGCAGCGCTGGAAGAGTCTGGAGCGCCTCAGGAAAGTGCGGGAACAGAATCAGAAGGCCACCTGAACTTAGCCAGTGCAGCCACATGTCAAAATGCCTGCAAGTAGGCGAGCACAGGCAGGAGTTAAAAAAGCGACCAAACCACCCATCGAGAATCATGATGGAGGCGGCTTTCGGGTTTTTTGGGTTCCGGGGTTCGTGTGTGTGTGGCCTTCCTGTTTCTAAGGGGTTCTGCGGCTGTGTCTATTTTTGGAGTCGGATGCCACCGCAATGGACCTCTGCTCGTGGAGTACGCATCCCTGATGAGGGCCACACGAAGGAAAGACGTAGCATGTACGTTGTGCCGAAACTCCACTTTCCGCTTTCCGCTTTTTCCGCTTTTTCACCTTTCAGTTGCTCGGGGGTGCACCATGGCAGTTTCGCCGTCTCATATCAAGTGTGTGTTTGTGGGTATGTTCACAGTGTGTTAAAATGGGGGGGGGGCACCCAAAATGGTGGCTTCCCTTTTCCCTAAATCAGAAAGGGCACCAGCTCCAAAGCAGAACACAGCTTTGCCTCAACGACTGTGGTGGGTTCCCTCAAACAGACCTGCGCCGGACGGGAGGGGCCGCCGGGCACGGGGAAGACCATGACCACAGCGGTCCTGGCCACATGCTTTGCGCGCCAGAACATGATCTCAGGACTCGGACGTTGGCGGAGGGGGGGGTTTGGCTAGAACATTTATCTAATATGAACAAACAACCGAAACCACCATTGTACGTTTTAATAGCAACTAGATTTACTACCTGGTTTCAGAAGGGTTATAGGAAGGCTTAAACCTTCAAAACCAGGATAGTAGGATAACCAAAAGTCAATAGGTTTTGGTCGCTCATATAGGTCCGGGCTCGTCGCAATGCGGATGTCCCCAAACCTTTGGCTTGTTTTTGTTGGCTGGACTGCAGTGGAAGGACCAATTCCTCGCCGATCGGGAATCGGCACCAGTTGGATAATTGGTGGCTTGTACCAGTATTCATAGAGTTTCACAGTGGAAAGGTGGCTTCTTGTCTTGGACCATAGTGTCCCGCTGGCTTAGTGGCACGGGAAGGTACTTGCCTAGAGTCTCCCCTAGAGAAATATCGCAGGGCGCAAGAGCCAGTTCAACTTTTGGGCAAAAACAGCTGAAGGTGGGACAAAGTTCTCAGAAAAGAGCTCCACCGTTTGAAGTGAAGTCAGGACAAAACCGCGCCGTGCTGCTGTGCACGCCCACCAACCGCGCAGCAGACTGTGCCGCAGCCTTCGTGGCGCGCATCTGCCAGAGGCGGAGCGGAGAGAAGAGGAGTTTTGGTCTCATGGAACTCCCGGTAGAGGTTTGGAGAGGGTCTTAGGCCGGCGTTTGGTATCGGTTCTGCTTTTTGTTTTCGTACCTTCCAGTGGTCTTTGTCAGACACTTTGTACTGAGACAAATTATAGTGAGCCAAAAGTTGCAACAGGATTTTAGGCGCCATTCGCATAGAAAGTTTTTTTTTTTTTTAAACGTTTTTAACGTGGAGCTCCACCGGAGGCTGAGGAGATGCGCAAAACTGGTTACTCGGATGAAGTTTTTGGTTAGGGACAGTCTCCTTGCAATAACACCTGGGACATCGGGTGTGTCTCTCTCTCTCTCTGTTTTTTTCTCTCTCTCTCTCTCTCTCTTTCTCTCTCCCTGTGTGTGTTTGTGTGTGTGTGTGCGTGCGGGTGCCCACCCTTGTTGGGGCTGTGGTGAATGGAAACAAAGTAAAGCAAGCTCTTTTGCAGGTTGTCCTAGTTTGGACACAAGCTCAAATGCTTGGGTTATGCCGGGTGTGCTTTTTTAGCAGCTTGCAAAAAGGCTCGCATTCTTGACTTTGACGTCCCGATTGAATAGCCACACTTCTTCTTTTTGCCAGTGCCGCACTTTTGGCCGATGCTTGATGGTGCAGCGTTCGCCCCTTTGCTCACAGAAGCCTCAGCTGAACCACAGCATTCTCCCCCCCCCCCCCCCACACGCCTCAGCTTAGCTTGGTCCGCTAGCTTGCTATTGTGCGTGTGTGTGTGTGTCTCCGAACATCACCTTCTAGTTCAATGTTGGCGTTGTTGAAAGGAGACATGCAGTATACAATCACATATGTACATGTGTATATATATATATTTATATATAAATACGTATATTATGTATATACGATATGTATATATATTATGCTATACACGCATATATATATATAAGGAGCCCTATCCGAAGGTTGACTTCAGTCCCCTCCACTGTTTGAGAATAAGCAAAGCTTGAGGCAGGCCCAGCGTCGTTTGGAGCAGCGAAGCGCGGAAGGCGACCTTTGCGCATCTTGGAGGGAGTGTTTAGATAGTTGGGTGAAGCTTGGCAAAACCCCCCCTTAAGTCGGGATGAAAGTCGACGGCACAACTTCCCCATTTGGTTTAGTGATCCCGCTTGCTTATCGGGGAAGTGTGCCATCTAGTTTCACCTGGTGCACGAGTTTAGTCCCAACCGCTGACTTTAGACTTTTGGGGAAGACCTTTTTAGTAGCAAGGAGCAATTTTTGGTCAATCCACCCAGGAAGCGAGAAGCGGAATTTTGCAAGGGCGGCTGGTGTTCATAGGCAGCTGGAATGCAAGGAGCCCGCACTGGGTGCTCAATAGATCTCCGTAGTCCGCTTTGCTAAGTTGTTTAAAGGGGATGGATAGTTGCAGTTTGAGCGATTCTCCTGTTAAGCACCCGGGCTACGGTGAGAGTCCAAATAGTTTCTAGCATGTTGTTTTCGCATGATCATGACCTATTTTGATTTTAAACTTGAAACTGCCACACAACCCAATGCTGATTATTTAGGCTCTGACTGGACAACATGCAGGCATCCAACTATATTTTCCATTGGAGGTTGTTGCATGCTGCCGAGATCTCGAAGTTTACGTCACCAGCAGAAGCTCAGCCAATGCTTGGGAATGTTGACCTCTGCTTCATCAGCCAACCAGTTAATCAGGGGGGTCCACCTTGAGAGGAATCCCACTAGAACCTGACCCCTTAAAAATCAGTGCGGGAAAGTTATTAATCGGGGGTCAGGGGTTAGCAGTATGACGGGCACAAGGTTTGCTGAACGCGCTGCATGTGAGAAAGCCAACACGTTGCCTTGTCCGGGGTGCGACACGGAAACATTTGAGCAGCGTCCCTCTGGGGGCCGAACAGTTTGGAATTCCCCACATTATGAGGGGCCAGGTACTGATTGAAAAATAGCGAGGGCTATAAACCCCGGGAGGACCCCCAAACATGCCAACCTCCCCCATAACACCCCAGCAAGGGGAAGACAATTGCCGGACAAAACTGAGATCGGCGTTGTCTTTTAGGGGGTGGTGTGTCTTGGGCATGGGGGATGGAGGGTGTATTGTGGGGATAGCAGTTCGTGACTAAGCCTCAACCCAACGAAGGTCCCAGCACCCCCCAACTGTTCTTTCTGTTCCAAAATTACAAGTACGGAAACCCAGACACCAGTGGTTGGACAGGTGGTTGTTTGGTCCAAGGCGGTGTGTCAGGGCGCAAAGCCGGATACCATCACGCTGTGCAGCCACGCCTTTCACAAGAGCTGCCTGGCGCAGGCTCGAGAGTCTGGGAAGCCGGGCGAGCCGAGTTTTGGGCATGGGGCTCCTGGCTCGCTCTCAGTTCCTCTCAAATGATGACCCACCGAATTGGTGGTGTTCCTGTTGGCGCCCCCGAAAAAACCATCCCCGAAAAAAAGGGTACATTTACCCCACCAGCCCAAAAACGACACAGCTGGCTGACTTCATGGGTCTTCCAAAGTTAGCCAGTGATAGCTATGAGGCTGGCAATCAACCCTTGTTGTTGGCCCATGGAAAAAAACAACAGCTTCATCAAAATTCACCCAGCGTGCGCTGTGAGGCATTGGAGGTGGGCAGCCGCTGCCCCATTTGTCGGCAGCAGGTGAAGCACATAGACACAGGCGGGCTTTGGGTTACAGACTCAGCTTGCCGTTTTCATGGCTACTGTGGACGGATGAAATTCTGCACCTATTAAGAAACCGTGGAATGATGATTCCCCTGTAAATGCCACCAAGCAATGGTTTCAACCATGGTTTTAAAGTGGGCGACCGGATTTTGTCCATTCACAGTATGAATTTAACTTGAGGACCCTTTCGTGGCCATCAAATATGGTGTGTCTCCAATCATAGGACCAAAGCCCAAGGGAAGACATTGGATAACTGTGTCCTTTGGTTTTCCTTCACATCCAAATATCATTGTGTCTTTGGAGCCAGCCAGTGCAGTGGACTGTTTGCCTGGGTCCATTAAACAAAAACTCGGCTAATCAACACGGATTTATCTCGCAATGAGATCTTGGTGTCACCATCGATCTCGCCCATGATGAAGGTTTCTATGGCACCCTCTTCACGTGAGCCCAAATGTCGTAGCCTGTAGAACTTCCCACCCCAACCTTGCCTATAGACTCCAAGTATCTTTCAGTTTGAGTCGTTCGTCTCCACGCTAAGGGAAAATGCCAGCCTGCGAGATGCGTGTTTTCATTGTGTCTCTCCCTTTCAAAGCTCGCAGAGTGTCGGTGCGGATTTGTTGTAGCCATGAGCCACGCAGTGGAGCACCGATGGTATGGCAGGGCATGCGTAAACCGAGGCTAGTCTTACCCAGTTTGTTGCTGGATTTCTTCCTAGTCTAGGGTCAAAATGCTTTCTCCTTTTCCGGCCATTTAGAGGTTAGTTCTGAACTGGTTGTCTACATTTTTGTCCGAGCCATTCCGCAAAGTGATGAAGCATCCTGGGTAGAACGTTCGCTTGGGTTCCGTTTGCCGACCAAGGTTCTACCCTTGTGCTGATCGGGGAATTCAGTAAGAATCCGGATCACTTCAGGTGACACCCGCGTATGGGTTCTAGGTCCAGGGTTCCCTTTGCTCTCACTTCTTGAGTTGCTGCGCTTCAAGGGACGATTCTAAGTTTGGTTTCGGCTCTCCGCTGGCTTCGGCTTACAGACCCAGACCCCTTCATCCCCTCACAAACCTGGCTGGGCCCTTTGGGCGCAGCTCAGTGACTCGATGTTCCGATTTTCGGACTTCGCAGGTCTGCGCATCCTCAGGATCTATGGCTCTGACATTGAGAAGCAGGATCGGTACGGGTTTCTGGCTGAAAAGGCCAGTGGCCTATCATGCCTAGTTTGCCTAACCAAAGGGGATGGGCCATTTGTGCGTTTTCCATCGAGTGTTGTCGTTGCGCGCACTTGTTCACGCTTGGGGCTGTCTGACACGGGGTCTTGCTTTGTGGGCGGGGGCAGGGTTGGATTCGTTTGATTGGTTCTCAAAAAACACCTCCGAATGAGAATGGAATGCTTGCTTCTTTGCCAATTTGGCAAGATCAATTGAGCGCCTCCCAACCCAAATGAGTAGTCGGTTCTACCATCCGGAATCATGGGTAGTAAAGCCTAGTTAAACCTTTCTAACCATGTTGGTAGAACCAGACGTCAATGGCACTTGGGCGCTGCTCAACTGGTGCATGTTTTTGCTTCTCCCCCGGATCCTTCTTGAGGGCTGAAACCTCATGGTCAGCGATGTCGTGATATTTCACAAAATTGCTTCGGGCTCGGTTTTGTTTTGCGTTCAGGCCGATGAGATGTCAAGCAACCTCATACACTTAAGAGGCATGCTGCTTTTTCTGGCTGATTTCGGCTCTTTTGGCCTAGCTTGCAGATGGCTATGAGTTTCACCCAACTAAGACAAACCCACCCTCTAAAAGTTGTATGAAAGATCCCCATGCTTTTTCTCCTGAGATCCAATGTCGGAAGGGATGGTTGAGAGCCTGCACCTGTTCCCGTAAGACGCATGCAGAACCCCCCCCCTTTTTTCTCCGCTGCGCAGGAGTTCCCGGTGCCGAGACGTGCCTCGGCTCGCAAAGCTGCTGATTTGACTGACTTTTCATGGAGAGACATTTCTTCAGGATGTGTGTTTTGTTTGCTTTGCTTCAGGATGTGTTTGTTTTTCTGACCAAGAAATTTACTTCATGTTCATAGGACTCCCCAGCTGGGGGGCAATTCGGAGAAACCTCCCTTTTGTGGAAGAAACAACATGCAATTCGCAGCTGACCAGGTCGACCAGTCTTCCCGCAAGCCATGTGTCCCAGAAGAAATTGTGAGACCATCTCTCTGTGTTCCCCGACATGGGGGGGGCTCCGAGGCAACGAGCACAGCTCTGAGCCCCGGAAGCCAACAGAAGTGCCCGAGGAGAACGGCGCGGGGGAGTTTTTAGCCACTCAACTTGGCAGAAGTGTCTTAGACCCGGGTTGTTGTTGTTTTTGTTCTATTGGGAGACGGTGTCAGGACAACCGCATGTGTTTTGTTGTTTATTGTTGTTGTTTGTACACGCAGGGGGCCGGCGCACGACACGACAACGCTGGCCAACGAAGCTAGTGACCAGTGGTGTCGTGGGATGGGGTTCGGGAAGCCGAACTTTTTGAGAAGGTTGTGATGTTCTGAAGGTCCTTTTGGTCCCCCCCTTGAGCCGCTCTTGCTACCACTACGAGCTCTACACGGCTGCTGCTGACTCGAATTAAACCCACTCGAACTCAAACCTAGTCGAACTTCAGCATTCTCCCTTGGGAGTTTAAGTGTGTGTTTGGGTGTCTGTGTGGGTGGTTTTCAAGAAGAACGCTTCAGGGCAACTGCCAGTGTTGCGGGCATATTACTCTCAAATATTAAATTGTGTTGGTTTTGCGAAATGAAACCAGCACAACCATTGATTAGAATGCAATCCCAACCCCCTATTTCCAGTCATGGAATTGGACATCTCAAGAGGCCTTGTTCAACAAATGCATGGTTTCCTTTTTGTGTTTGGGCAGGGGGGGAGACGTTATAGTTCTGTTTGCCTGGGGCTTTTCACGTTGAGAACCTGCTGACAAACTTGCATATGATGGCGACTTTGTCAAAGGAAGTTTAACAAGAAGCTTCCGTAGTACTGGAACTAAATGAGCTAGCTGCTTTGACATATAGCTATGACAGGTAGCTAGCATGACAAATAGATAGCTTTGACATATAGCTAGCTTGACAGATAGATAGCTTTCCAATAGGCTTGCATGACAAATAGACAGCTTTGACATATAGCTAGCTTGACAGATAGATAGCTTTCCAATAGGCTTGCACTACAAATAGATAGCTTTGACATATAGCTAGCTTGACAGATAGATAGCTTTCCAATAGGCTTGCATGACAAATAGATAGCTTTGACATGACAAATAGATAGCTTTGACATATAGCTAGCTTGACAGATAGATAGCTTTCCAATAGGCTTGCATGACAGATAGATAGCTTTGACATATAGCCAGCTTAACACGTAGATAGCTTTCTCAAGTATAGATTTCGTGGCAGGCGCAGCACTTTCGCAAGCACTCTCTGCGAGCTGGGGGATGGCAAGATGCAGAAAACGTTGGCGCTGTGCGTGAATTGGGCTTCCGGACAATGCGCAAACCACCTCGGCTGCGACGCCTGTACGGAGGCGGTCTCGGAACGGTCTCGGAACGGTCTCGGAACGGGTTCGGAACGGGTTCGGAGACGGGCCCATTGGCACGGCCGCGCGAAGGTTTCGCAAGGTTTGAATTGCGTGGCAGGCGCAGCACTTTCGCAAGGTCAAGTATAGATTTCGTGGCAGGCGCAGCACTTTCGCAAGGTCAAGTATCGATTTCGTGGCAGGCGCAGCACTTTCGCAAGGTGCTGCGTCCACTCTCTGCGAGCTGGGGGATGGCAAGATGCAGAAAACGTTGGCGCTGTGCGTGAATTGGGCTTCCGGACTGTGCGCAAACCACCTCGGCTGCGACGCCTGTACGGAGGCGGTCTCGGAACGGTCTCGGAACGGTTCGGAACGGGTTCGGAACGGGTTCGGAGACGGGCCCATTGGCACGGCCGCGCGAAGGTTTCGCAAGGTTTGAATTGCGTGGCAGGCGCAGCACTTTCGCAAGGTCAAGTATAGATTTCGTGGCAGGCGCAGCACTTTCGCAAGGTCAAGTGCCAAATTCGTGGCAGGCGCAGCACTTTCGCAAGGTCAAGTACAAAATTCGTGGCAGGCGCATCACTTTCGCAAGGTCAAGTACAGAATTTGTGGCAGGTGCAGCACTTTCGCAAGGTCAAGTGCAAAATTCGTGGCACGCGCAGCACTTTCGCAAGGTCAAGTACAGATTTTGTGGCAGGCGCAGCACTTTAGCAAGGTCAAGCACAGATTTGGTGGCAGGCGCAGCATTTTTGCAAGGTCAACTTTCGCAGCCGGGGCTCGAAAATCGCAACTTTTAAGTACGAAAGTAGTACGCGAAGTCAACTTTCGCAGCTGGGGCTTGAAAATCGCAACTTTTAAGTACGAAAGTAGTGCGCAAAGTCCACTTTCGCAGCCGGGGCTTGAAAATCGCAACTTTTAAGTACGAAAGTAGTACGCAAAGTCCACTTTCGCAGCTGGGGCTCGAAAATCGCGACTTTTTAGTACGAAAGTAGTACGCGAAGTCCACTTTCGTAGCTGGGGCTCGAAAATCGCAACTTTTAACTACGAAAGTAGTACGTGAAGTCCAGTTTCGCAGCTGGGGCTCGAAAATCGCAACTTTTAAGTACGAAAGTAGTACGCGAAGTCAACTTTCGGGGATTGAACATCGCAACTTTTAAGTGCAGAGAAAGATGGGTAGATAGATAGATCAATAAACAGATATAGAGATAGCTAGAGAAATAGATAGAAAGAGATAGAGAAACAGAGATAGACAGAGATAGATAGATTTGTAGATAGATAGACAAATAACTAGCTAGATAGATAAAGAGATAGAGAGATAAATAAATAGAGAGGTAGATAGATAGATAGGAGATAGAGAGGTAGATAGATAGGTAGATCTATAGATAAATCGCAACTTTTAAGTACGAAAGTAGTACGCGAAGTCAACTTTCGCAGCTGGGGCTTGAAAATCGCAACTTTTAAGTACGAAAGTAGTGCGCAAAGTCCACTTTCGCAGCCGGGGCTTGAAAATCGCAACTTTTAAGTACGAAAGTAGTACGCAAAGTCCACTTTCGCAGCTGGGGCTCGAAAATCGCGACTTTTTAGTACGAAAGTAGTACGCGAAGTCCACTTTCGTAGCTGGGGCTCGAAAATCGCAACTTTTAACTACGAAAGTAGTACGTGAAGTCCAGTTTCGCAGCTGGGGCTCGAAAATCGCAACTTTTAAGTACGAAAGTAGTACGCGAAGTCAACTTTCGGGGATTGAACATCGCAACTTTTAAGTGCAGAGAAAGATGGGTAGATAGATAGATCAATAAACAGATATAGAGATAGCTAGAGAGATAGATAGAAAGAGAGAGAAAGAGACAGAGAAACAGAAAGAGAAAGAGAAAGAGAGAAAGAGAGAAAGAGAGAAAGAGAGAAAAAGAGAAGAAGAGAGAGAGAGAGAGAGAAGCAAGGGGCCAAGGACAGTTCTCCAAACTATAGTTGTTCACTGCTTTGAAACTTCCGCCCCCCGGCTCTGCCGGACCTTACTTGTATATTATGTGTATTTGTAGGGCACATGTTGACTTCCACACGTGTCCTTTGATCCGTTGGTTTGGTTTGGGTTCCCCTGGGTTGGGAAACCACACTTTTTTTTCTTCCAAAGATGGCTTGTATTCACAACTCGCGTCTTTTTGTTTAGTGACACTTAAAACATCTTAAGGCGTTGTCTCAAAAGAATCCGAACCTCCAAAAAAGGGCACCCCAGGTCGATTTTGTCCATCAGCAGTCGGGGTCTCAGGTGTCCTCGGAACATATTGTATGTGGTTTGGTAAGACCAAATATGAAACATCATTGGACAGTATGGTTTTTGGTGTGTCAAAGACTGCATTATATGAACCCCGGTATCAACCCCTTTTATGGGTGAATTAACCGTTAGTTTTGGCTTGATTATAGGAAATCAGTATTAAAAGGGTCCGAAATGGCCATGGGTTCATTTCTGGACCTAAACAATCAGCCTTTGAACCCAGATTTGGGCCAAGTGCAAATAATTGCAAACATATTGAATTAACAACTTCCAGCTGGCGCTTGGCGTGGATTGTGCCCTTCCACTTCTTCCGACACCATCGGAGGAGCAACAATGGAGCATAGCTGTTCTAAGCTCTACATGTGACAAGAGAGGGGACCCCCAACATGTTGGCTTTACTTGCGACTTGCACTTTTAAGCAAGCCTGAAAAGGGTACCCTCAAAACCACAAAGCCGTGTAATGGAATCACGGGTCTGTCTTTTTTGCGGCTTACCCTTTTTGGGGGTGCTGATTTAAAGGGACACAGCGGAATCCGTTTCGTGGGCCCTAATATTCGACAAACCCAGTGGCGCCCCTTCTCGTCAGGAGATGCGGCGCTTCTCTCTGCACTGGCGATGTCACGCAGCGGTGGAGGGCGAGCAGCTCGTCGTCGCATTTGTTTTGTTGGATTTTTGGTGGCCTCGACGGAGCCATGTGGGTGGCCTGGCTTTTGGATTCCCCCAAATGGCTTCGGTGTTCCCTTTGGCGGTACTATTTTTGAGCGCTAAAGGGAAACTTCAAAAGAAACTCATTACTTTGGGGGTCCGCATCCCTATTTTGACATGCCTCTTTTTGTTTTTAGGTTCCTCGAAAAATGGCGAAGACCTACGCCCCTTCACTGCAAGGCCAAGGGCCAACAAGTGGCTTGATTTCTCTTGTCCCGATTCTTTTGCTGTAGTAAGAACAAGTATCCGGACTTGCTCCGCTTTTGGTTGGGGTAAATATACAAAACAGACATCTGGGCTATGTTAGCACGTCAAATGACCCCCGCCAAGCATGGCTTTTGTTTCAGTCAGCCCTCATGGGGACGCTCAGAATTCAGGCGTGCCTCACCGGCTGCGTGGAAGACCAAGAAAGCCTACCGCGACATGATCCAGTACGGCACCAAAGGCGAACGTCTCCTTTCTTACCAAAGGTGGCAAGCGGACCATGTCCAGTTGCCAGACGGGGCGATGGGGGGAAGCTTAGTGACTTACACCGAGTTGTTCAGCGGCTCTTGTTCCTTTTTTTGCAGGTCCACACCAGCAAAGGGCTTCCTTTGTTTGGTCGGGGTGACTGGGCAAGCGGGTACACCAACCATGAGCCAAATACCCATCAAGTACTCAGTGTCCCCCAAAAAAGCAATGTTTCCAGGTAAGTTTGAGCATCTGTATAGAGGTGAGTTTTCTCATGGGTGATTTTTGCTTCATATCATAGGGCCCTTTTCCACTGCATGTCCGACTGGCAGCTAACAGACAAATCCGACCCCGCACAAAGGCAAGGCATTTCAGAATATTTTGTGTGAGGGTGTCTTTCGTTGAGAAGTGTTCCTTATTACAAAGAGCTGGTTGGCTCTTTGTTCGAAATACATGTTTTCTTAGACGCAGAAATAGAGGAACACCTTCAGCAAACATTCCCTACAAGGCTATTGAAGTATGCACTTGTTGGATGCTTGCCAATTTGCCGTGTAGATCACCCACAGTGCAAATACATATCGCTAGCTGATTTTGGAGGACACATCAAGGTGGGATCGACAAAACAAGTTCCACACCTGAGCTGCAATTATCGATCCAGGTAAGCTTCTAGGAAGGAATCTTCAACGTTTGTGAGATCGAAAACCGAATCTCCTCTTTTGGCTCCGATTCACCTTGCCAGTACATCGCTTCCGTTTTCTAGCATCGGCTGGCCTTTGCCTTGCCCCGGATGGATGTATGCGTCGTCCCTCTGGCAGGCAGCCGCGCTGACCAGCTGCGGAGCATTTACCAGCAGGCGGCATGGGCTGAAGATCTCAGAAAGGGCAGACTGTTTTCAAAAAGTGCAGAGACTGTGCGTGTGTGTGTGGTGTGTGTGTGTGTGTGTGTGTTTGTGGCTGGGTGCCAATCAGTACAGAACTTAAATGTTCCCCTAAAGAAGACCAAATTATATGGATCATCAGTTGGAAAGCAGCCAGACTGGTAATTGATGTTCATTTGGATTCACCCTGGCAGATGGATTAGGGGGGTTCCGCCCAAAAGCTGTGAACCCCCTCCAAAAGAAACACAACCTATGAATCACTCAGGGGTTCACTAGCCATGGGTTCTCATTGTGTGCATGGCATGATCCTTCAGTTTATCCGAATTAATGGCTCGAGGATGTGCATCATGGCGGTTCAAGCACATCCCACCTTACAGGTCATGAGTTTAATGAGAAGCTCGTCGAGCGATAGGACTGCCCTCAGAGGACCTCTGGCACTCACCGACTGGGGGGGGGGGGAGAGGGGGTTGAACTTGAATTCCTGTTTGTCAACCTGGATGCAAACAAAATAATATGCTTCCCGATTTTCCTTAGAGGACGTCGAAAGGACTGACACCTGTTTTTCAGGCTTGTGCTGGCTTACCGAGAGATGTCCGGGCACAGCTTCTTGTACGATGGCATTCTTTGTGCGTATCCTTATGTCACAGTCACTACAAGTGACAGTGGAAGCTGGCCCTGAAATGATTTATGTATATATGCATGCATATATATATGAGCATATGTGTATATATAGTATTGAAGGGACATTGCCGTTTGACGGCTTCAACCAACCACGCAAGATGTTAGTCCCGCTAAAAGCGGCAAAGTAGTTCGCTTGGAGCTGACCAAACAAAGAAACGGCAACGCTGGGGTACGTGCATCACCTGCAGTCCAAGGTCTGAGTATGCCACGCAATAATGCAACCCCAAGAGTCTTTGACAAGCCCAACACCTTTGGTCCATGGTTACGGGTTACGTATACTAAGCTTGTGGCCGATGGGCTTGCAGTGAGGGCATGGATTGTTGTCCCCCCCCCCCTCCAAGAATCATGGAAGCTGACAGGAGGGTGTCGGGAGATCCGTTTGGGGAGCCACCTTGTCCATGTTTGATTGTTGGAAAGAGGGTAACCGTTTGTAAACCATCTTGGCAAACAAGGTCTTGGGCGCTCTACTGGAAGCACTCGACAGGACAACTTGTGTTTTCCGTGCGCATTCGAAAAGTGAAAGGTGCTGCAAGCCATCTGACAGCTCACTGCTTTGACCATTGCTCTGAATTTGGCTCCATCTCCCGCAGCCCTTTGGAAGTTTATATCGCGTGCCGTTTTTGATGAGGGTACCCACTGCTTTTGTGATTTGGAAAAGGAAACCAAAAGGAACACCATTTGGGGGTGTCCAACCTTTGAAAAGGACACACCCAGATTGAAATTGGCCTCGCAGCATTTCGCAGCTTGCCCAAACCTCCAGTGCCAATTTGTTCAACTTATTGTTCGGTAGGTCGCCCTTCAAAATCAGCCAAGCATAAAAATATTAAAAAAGGGTCAATAGTTGTTTCCTGGAATCCCACTGGAGGTTCACTGAATCTTATTTTCGGATTCAATCGGAGGACTGTAGTTAACACAGTTCCGCTAAAATGAATTCATTCCCACTGGAGGATCGGAACCCCTGGCTGGTCTTTGGTTTGACAAGAAAAGCCCCTTAGATCTTTTCGAACAATTGGAAACCTACAAAATAGCCTAACAACACTGCCCGTTCGACTTGGAGCAATGTTGGCGTGTTGTGTCTAAAAATAGGGGTCCTTTGAGTCCTTTGGTTTCCCTTCAAACCCATCCCAAAAAGGGGTAGCCTTCGCCTCGAAAACGGAAACGCGACGCAGGCACTGGCCGAAGCCAGAGCTGCGGAACTGAAAGAGGCAGACATCGTCTTCACCACCTGCGTGTCTCGGCTCGACGTCAGACGTCACCTGCTCGTTGTTTGACCTTTGGTTTGGTTTTTCCCATGGATGTTGGGCTCCGTTTGTTGTGGCGAATTGAAAGGAAACCCAAAGGAAACCAAGCATACGTGCCGATAGTTTTGAGACAGAGGTCGCAAGCAGTTGGTCTTTTACTTACGAGTCTTCGCTGCACTTTGCACCGTTTGCGGGTGCACTATCCTTTTTACCGCAACGACTAGCTGGAACGAACAAAAGCCTGAGACACTTTGCAGCACTGGCCAGAAAGTGGTTGCCGACTCTTGTGCCGCTGCTGGGGACTGGTCTCGCAAATAACCAAACACAATGTTCAGATCAAGCTCCATTCCAATCAACAAGAGTTAAACATTGACCACACGGTGGAGGAACCACGGAGCCAGCGGAGACAGTTTCCGAGGGCAACTCTTTGCCTCAGAAAGGAATTGTGCTTGAGCTCTCATTGAAAGCTCTGATCAACAAACCGCAGAGGGGTTTCAGGGCTGGGGTGGGCCATGAGCAGATTTGACTTAGAGCTAGTCATTGTGTTGCCTGGCCTCCTCGACATCAGGAATCTAAGAACTCTTGCTACTTGATCGGTTAATGCCTCCATTTGGAGTTGCCCTCTAGAAGGCACACGTTGCAATAGCTGGCACTTTTGATGAACTAAGCCATGCACCCACAAAATGGTACCGCTCATCAAACCTAAAAGTGTGTCCGATTTCCAGGTATGGAACCACAATTTGTCCACCAAGGGTGCAAAAGTACCCTTCGACAGGTCAGGTCTGGACTGTGGGTCACTGGCCCCATGAAGGTCCTTTTTGGTTGACATTTGTTATTGCGTGTGCATGTGGGATTGTGCCTAAATAGGAGAACGCCCAGAATGGTTAGTTTCTTTAAATGTTGAAACCACTCCGAAAAGGGGTATCCTCAAACAAGACAACCATGTGGGAACCTGTCCAAGGCCTTCTGTTGAGAGTTCGAGCAGTATTGTCTTGTGGAAAGGAAACTAGTCGATTCTGCGTGCGTTCTCTATTTTCTGTGCTTCTGCTTGCCACTTAGCAACAAGCTCCGACCATATCTTGGCTTATACAGCCATTTGCTGACTCCGTGTAAAAGATCTCAGACATGTCGAAGACAAGTTGTTGTGGTTGTTCGGGCATGGTCAGGCAGTCGCATCTTTCTTTTTCCCCCTTTCAGTTTATCAGCCTTGTTATCTACCAGGGTCACTCAGGGAATGAAACATCACATGATTTGGCCTGCTTTCCGCCACCATGATTGGACTGAAGCACTCGGTTGTTCCCTCGAGATTTTGCACTTTTGGATAGTGTTGACGGGAAATCTAAGGGAAACCAACCACTTGGAGTCGCAGTCTTTGAGACACCCCACTGTGGGTTCCCAGGTGTCCAGTCGGCGAATGGCCATAGCTCAGGCTTTGAGCGAGGACATCCGCCTCGGTTCTTAAGTCGAATGTACAAATTCCGCGCCAATCGGCACGAGTTGCCTGACTTATCCAGTGGTGTAAAGTTGATCCTTTCCATTTACAGCAGGGGCGTTTGTCTGTGTGTTTTGTTGCTTGGTTGTTTTTTGTATTTTTGGTGTCTGTGTTTTTTGTTTTTGTTGTGTTGTTAGTTTGTTTACGTCTGTGTTATTGTTGTTTGTTTGTTTGGTTGTTTGCTTGCTTGCCTGCTTGCTTGCTTGCTTGTTTGCGTGGTTGGTTGTTTGTTTGTTTGTTTGTTTGCTTGCTTGCTTGCTTGCTTGTTTTGATTTGTTGTGTTCTTGCGTTTATGTGTGTTTCTTTGGTTGTTTCTTTGGTTGTTTGTTTGTTTGTTTGTTTGTTGGTTTGTTTGTGTGTTTCTTTGCTTGCTTGCTTGTTTGTTTGTTTGTTTTGATTTGTTGTGTTATTGCGTTTATGTGTGTTTCTTTGGTTGTTTGTTTGTTTGTTTGTTTGATTGGGTGTTTGTTTGTTTGTTTGTTTGATTGTTTTGGTGTTTGATTGGTTGGTTGGTTGGCTGTTTGGTTGGTTGGTTGTTGGTGTATTGATTTGCTCTTGTTTTGGTGCTTGTTTGGTTTAGTTTGTTTGTTTGCGTGTTCGTGTGTTTGTTTATTTGTTTGTTGGTTTGTATGTCAAGTTGGTTTCTCTTGTTATTTGTTTCTTTGTTTGTTTGATTGATTGATTGATTGTTTGTTTGTCTCTGTATTTGTTCACCTTGTTGGTTTGGTTTGTTTGGTTTGGTTTGTTTGTTTGTTTGTTTGTTTGTTTGTTTGTTTGTTTGTTTGTTTGTTTGTTTGGTTGGTTGTTTGGTTTGGTTTGTTTGTTTGCTTGCTTGTTTGTTTGCTTGTTTGTTTGTTTGCTTATTTGCTTGCTTGTTTGTCTTGCTTGCTGCTAATGGGACACATGTTTGAAGCAAGCCACCATATATGGAGTCGCTCCCCAAACTTGGTAACATCGGAGTTACCGTTAAGTTTGTGCTCTTGACCAACGCGAGTTGACTTTTTGTTCCGTTGTTATTCCCCCCCCCCCCCCAGTAGGTAGTCAGTGTCGCAAATGTTTGATCAGAGGTCAGGTTTCTTACATAGCCAGATAATTGAAACTACATATATGCAAGGATACGGCTACGTATCATCGCGAGCTGGACCCTTACCCAGTCGTTTAGTGCCACCCTCAACATTCTATTTTGAACAGCCCAGCACCCACCATTGCCTTTGCAACACAGAGCATCTAATCTTGGACCTCTTGCCCCCTGGTACAAATTCGGGTTCTCAAAATTGGTTGGTTTGGATCTCCCAACCCTTGGCTTTCTTGTTGTTTCCTTCAACCAACAGGGGGTCGCACAAACAGATACTTGTGTCTATTGACGGAGTCTCAATCATCTCCTAGGCTTTGAGCTCTCGGGGTGGTGTTTGCCGCGCAGGAGGGTTCTCCAATCTTTTGGCAGGTCATCATCGATGAGGCCAGGGTATATGATATTTGGCTTGGATTCTCTTTTCTGGGATCTTCTTAAGCTTTTAGCTTTTCAGGGTTTAATAGCAGTGTCCATTTAAGCCACTAAAAGTTATTCACTTTTAGCAGGGGATCAGTTTGGACAGAAAGGGGACCACCCCCCCATTGATCAACCAGGGGGTTGAAGACGAGTTGGAACCTTGCCAAAACCAGATCGTCAGATGCACGTGTTTGGATTTCGGTTTTGGGGATTGGTGAGTTTGGACTGTCCGTTTCTTCTCGCCTGCTGGTACTCTCGGGTATCCGGGTGAGTTGGAGTCAGCTGGGTGTGTCTTCTGCGGTGAAGCCTCTTTTGGTTGGTTTTAAAGGGAGCCAACAGGAAGAGCCATTTTTGGTGGTTCGAGACATTCCCATCTGCTCTCACGGCCCTTGCAAAGCGAACTTCTCGCATCTTCACTCCGCGCCTCAAATGGGTATGTGACTCAAAATAGGGAGCCCCGCAAAATGATGAGTTTCCTTTTAGAGTCCCTTTTTTAACTAACCCCCAAAAGGGTCCCTCAAAAAACACACACCACAGATCAGTTTTAATATGTATATGTATAAATATATATATATACACACATTTTAGAATACATACACATACATATTTATATTCCCCTTATGTCTCTCATGTAGGTTGGTACCCCCACATGAAAGGGAATAAATGCCACCTGACACTGACGCCCACAAACAATATGCACTTATGTTCCTAGCTTTTGCTGCGATTGCTCACATTGTTTTCTCTAATGGTCCCTTCAAAACCGTCAAAGGCTACTGAGATACAAGGAGCATCCTGGGGCGATGTTTTCTTTGGCTTCCCTTGGTTGCCAAAAACGTGTTTGCCCTTGTTTTGATGCTCCCTTGTTGTTTCCATGATGTTCCTTTGGCTTCCCATGACGTTCCCATGTGGGTTCCAAAAAACACTAAGCCTTCCAACTCACCACGCCACACCTTCAGGCAGGCCAAGCCACAGAGCCGGAGGCCTTGTGCCGAGGGCTCAGCTGCAAGACTTGAGCCACGACTTGACTCAAAGCCGTTTTGAAAGAGAAGCAAGGCTTCGACTTGTGGATGTTTTAGTCAGGGATTTACGCCATACACCAAAAAGTTCACCTTGAACAAGTCAACAAAAACAGGGATAAGGCAAGTTACTTTGGGACCACAGGTCCCATAGTGGGCGACAGGGCAGCAACTACTCAGTCGTGGCTTTGGCCTTTTGGCGTGTTGTTCGCTCGAGGCCCACTGACCTTTGCCCGCGGGGCGCAGCAGATCTGTCTTTTCGGCCACCTGGCAGGAGAATTCGATGGCTGTGTTGTGAGGTCATCAAGTGGGGGGTGTTTGCCCTTGACCTTTGTTACTGGGGTCATTTTGTTGACTGTTTTTCAGGGGTTGTCAAGTGGGGGTGTTTTCCTTTGACCTTTTTTGCTTATGTGATTTTGATAGCTGGTGAAAGGCTGCCAGTATCAGCAGCATCCGACAACTGTTTTCTTTCGTGTCCGAAATCCCATGTACTGTCTAAACTTTAAACACAGTGGTTGGAGGGTACTTATGGTGAGGCGTGTTTGGGATTTTTAGACCAGTGTAACCCAAGGGGTCCAGGCACCTTCGGATTTGGGTCACAAATGGTTGGTCCCACATCCGGCCGGGTGACCAGCTGCAAGTCCCGCTTTGGACCCAATACCCATGGGCCACTTGGAGTACAGGTGACTGACTGTTCCAATCTTTGGACTTGAAGGTACGGGGGATGCACGAATCAAACTCGTCGAATCAATACAGTAGGCTTGTTCAACTCGTTCGTTTGGCAGAATGACGTGTTGTTTTTTGAATGTGTGTCTCGTAGCAATTCTAAGTGACTAGATGTCTCGTAGCACTACTAAGTGACTTCCTTATTTTCGTTAGGACGTCCAATTGTGTCGTTAGTATTTGTTGCGAGGGAGCCGACGTGCCATCGGTCCATGCCAGGTCAGTGGCAGATAGGGACACCCAAAGCCCTTTCAAGGGCTCAGGGTCCGGACGGTCGAGTTTTTTTTTTTTGTTTTGCGGTTTCCCCCTTTGTCTCTTTCTTTGAACGAGGCCCCAACAAATCCCAAACGGGTACGTCAAAACAACAAGCCAACACTTCACACTTCTGGATCAACAATAAATGCAAACAATGTGGAAGTTGCGCGCTTCATCTTTAAACAGTGATGACTTGACCATGTGTGCCATGGTCGAAACTCCCTTTACTTAGGGTTGCTGGCGACATTTGTAGGGAATTTAGACCGCCAATTTAAGGGTTCCTGGTACAGGGGCCATATTCATTGCCCGCACAATGATTTTTGACCAGCTCATGTGTGGCTAGTTTGGCTAGTTTGGCTAGTTTGGCTTCACAGCCTTGTGACTTGAAGGGAGCAAGAGTGGCTTTGCAACAATGATTATGCACAAGCTGAATGCAACCTTGCTCTGACACGCTAGACTGAATTGGATGTGGCATTGATGCCAAACTGTTTCCACACCACAGGTTATGACTGCTCCAAAGTGCTTCGGGCCTCTAGCCTCTCGGGGTCAATGGATTGACGGGCTTAGGGTCAGTGAAGCCAGTGTTTGCCCAGGGCAGATGGATTCGATCTCATGTCGGTATCAACCTCCCCTTTGAATCGATGATTTGCTGATTTGCCTTTGATTCTTCTTGTGGAAAGAGGTCCTCACCTCCGCCTCCGAAGATGTTCGCCATTTTAGTGCAGCACAACTTGCAGTTGCTTCAGACGCTGTTGTTTTTGCCTTTTGTAAAAGGAATAGCAATGACTGCTAGACACGTGCTGTTGTTGCGGTGTCATTTTTCTTTGGTACATATAAGTTAAGGGTTTTCCAGGTTTCAGATCTAAAGTCAACTATCAAAAGAAAGGTACCCTATCTTTCCTATAGACATCGCATCGCTGTGAAATGCGTCCAGCCTAAATGAGCTTCAGGTGACCACCAGCAGTTGCGGCCCATTCTGAAGAACCAGCTGGCAGAGGCCAGACTAATTTTCGCCGAATGGGTCCTTTCGGTGGGATGTCCAACTTTTTGGCGCGGAGTCAACCTGACGGCGCAACACGGGGAATTCGAAACACGGGGAATTCGAATCCGAGATGAGTTGGATGTGATCTCAACTCAAGGACACAGCCAGGGATGCAAAGGCCTCGGGAGTCGGACCCGCCAGAGATCCGTATATGCTTCTTTTTCGGGGAGATGTACGCATCTCGCGCTGTTCTTTTGGGGTCATGGTGAAAGGGTACATGTAAGAAACTCCTCATGCTCTCCAACTCCAATTGGAAGTGGGCGTTTTGGGGATTTCCCTAGAGGGAAGCAGTCTTTCCCAACATTAAAACAGTCATCCTATCAACTTGCAGTGCTGAATGGTTCGCGGCATTTGCACTTGCAATGTTCAGCAATGAGTTGCATGTCCTTCGTGACCCAACAAAGCTGAATCCAGCATGTCAACCCAACCAGTGCCATTAAAGTTAGACCGCTTTGATTCAATCGGAATCAGCCAGTTGAACGGGTCATTTAAGTTTGTTTTGAATCGGCATACTCATGCAGCAATGTCGTGGGGCAACAGGGAACTGGCAATACATGTGTTGTTTCAAACAGCCGCCTTTTGGCCCAGGTCAAGCCTTACATTTTTCTGTTGGACAATTTTGGGGACTTCCTTTCGGGCATTCCTGGGAGGCAATGGGGAAATGGGGCCTAGTTGCTACACGTCCCACGGTACCAGTGGCTTTACTGAGATAGGGGCTATATGTGTTTTAAGAATTGGATCGAGAGTGGTTGGTGGACACAAACCCCCGTCATGATGCCCGCCAAAGGGTCCGGGTCCCAGCAAAATCCACACCCATTGTCACACTGAAAACCTGGTAACGCGGTCCACCCAAAACCAATGTCGTGTGGAAAGAGCTCCGAGCTTCTGTGGGCCGACTGCAAAGCCTTCCATTTCCCTGGGATTCAAACCACCACTAAAACCATCGGGGTGAATATAATCACCACCGTTTAAGGGGGTTCAATCATCCAAATTGGGCCAAACATTCTTTTAATTGGGGCTGAACCCTAGGGATTTGCTAGAGTTCGTTTTCTGTTGCTTTTAAAGGGAATGTATGCAAGCAGCTGGCGGCTTGGTGAACCTCGCGCGTCTTGACGCCAACCGTTGGGACCGTATCCAGTCCAGCGGCATGGCCATCAGCCTCTTCGAGCGCCTGGCGATGCAGAGGGACCCCCAGTTCTTGGCGATCCAGTACCGCCGCTGGGATCCATGCGGGCTCCTTCTGGTTACAGTTTCCGTTTATTCATTTGTTTAAAGCAAAGCAAGAAAACAACAGCAATAAAAAGACATGTCTCCAACTGTTGGGGAAGACTACACGAAAGGCAAAGAACAAGTTGGTCTTCTGTTGGTTGGCTTTTCTCAAGATTGCTTTTGAGAGCTCCCTTCAAACCACGCAGAGTGGAGTTTGGATGTCACTCTAACAGTCCCAGCCCAGTGCAACGAGTTTTCATTTCCTTCATACAGCTCACCACTGGAGGTCTGGGAAATGGCAACTGGGATTGTTCGCATTGGGCTGGAACGTCCATGAAAGTGTCTGAAAGTGACGTCCAACTTGCCCGCCCCTTTGTGAAATTGAGAGCTGTTCAAATCTCATTGCCTAGTTACGCACCAGCAATTTGCAGGTAAGGTTAGCATCCCCAATAAACACCCTGTTCGTCAACCCCAATGACCAAACACTGACAAGGGCAATGGGAGCCAGGGGTGCGTGGAATGGTTATCAAGCAGCACGAGGCTTCTGCCCCTTTGGGCCCAAAATTGCGTGCGTGTGTGTGCCTGCCACCTTGTGGTGGGGAGTCGGGGTGAGGTCGGGAGCCAAAAAGGGTCACAAAATATCCAGCCCGCAGTTGTTAAGACCAGGCCATCAGGGACCCCTCCCCCCGTTGTATGGGTGCGTCGGTGCCTCCAAATGCCTCCCGATGGAACAGTGCTGGAAGCCCCTCCAGGATTTTGGGCGCGTTTCCACCGTACTCGGTTTGGGAGAAGCGGTTTCCTGAATTTCCTGAATTGTTCTTTTCAAAAGTCGATCCTTTGCGGCGTTTGGTATATTGGGGCCGGCGAGTCGTGCGATGCGGCATTGGATCGGTGACATTTTGCCTCTGTTCAAAAGGAAGTCAGGAAATTGCACATTGACCCCGTTTTTGTTTCTTGTCTCCGCGCTTTTCAGGGATTTTTTTAATTTGTTTTGTGTCCTTCAAATGTGATGCGGCGGGTTCATTCGAACCTGCAAGTGATTTGATCACTTGAGGAGACCTTTCAAAGGGAAAGGACACCAACTCTTGTGGGGCATTCTTTTCTATCATGTACCTGTGGTCCAACTTGCCGAGGGATGAACCCTGGCATCAGCGCCTACCCCTCGCGGCAGTTCTATGGAGGACTGGAAAGTGTCACTGAGACTTCTAATGGTTCTGCATAATTTACGGCGAGCTCCCCGATCCCGATCCGGCGATCCGGGGGTAAAGCCTGCTCACCATGGTAAAGATCCTTTACTTGGGGATCCCTTATTTGAGGTTTTGGACGTATTGTAAAATTGCAGATTGCTGGAACAACCTCGAAAATAGTTGGTGGACACAAATATGGGGGACACAAATATTCCCCATGCTTGTTCTGTCCACCAAGTTTTGAGTTTAAGACCATGCACATTGCATGTTCTTTTGGCATATAAGGACGTGTCCAGCGTGGGGTTGCGCGAGAGCGAGTTGCCACTGGCCAGTCTTGCTTGGCTAAGACAGGTTCTCACAAAACAAAATGGAAACCATTCTGATTCTGAGCAATATCCCCAGCTCCCAGTTGCCCTTCAAAGGGTACCCCTTGGGTACCCCTTCTGCAAATACCCGCTTGTTTCAGGGTAGTGTCTGAGAAAACCAAGTTTTCCTTGTAAACTCCTCCTTTCAAGTAGCAAGTTTTTCCATGATACCTGCATAAAAGTGGGTATTTGGAGCAAGCCCAAAACCTATGTGCCTGTTCACCTAGCAAATCTGTGGAAATGTGATCCCCAAATTGCACATGGGACACAACAGCGGCCTTCTTTGAAAGCGAGACTGAAAAAGAAGTTCCCTTTTTGCTTTGTTGAGCAGAGCCAAACAAAAATGGCGTTTTGTTTTGACAGGTTGAGTTTGGAGACGCCCCAGCATTGGATTTTGCTGAGCTCTCATCCATTTGTCTCATTGTAATTTGGTGCTGGGTAGACTGTTGCCAGGCCGCTTACTTGACGATGACTCCGTGCTACAGAGTCCGACCCTGCTGGAGCATCCTAGCCAGGCAAGAAGAAGCCGGGATTGTTTCAGTTTCAACCAGAAGGCCTTGAAATCCCTTCTTGGCTGTTGGCAGTGACGTGCAGCTTCTGCAATCACCATCACTTGTTATCTCGGGCGGATGTTTATCTTTGGACCGGCTTTTCGTCTAATCTTGGACAGTATTTTGGGAAAATCACTCCAAAACGGAGCTGCTTTTTGACCCGCTTGATATGAAGTGTTGACTATGACTCATTTGCTTCCTGTTCTACCTTCGGTGCCTGGACAAGCGACCGGGGTACAAGGTTCAATGCACAAGACGAAGCCCCTGAGTAACTCGCTAAAATGGCACGGGCGTGTGTCTCTTGAGCGGGATTCACAGTTCACATGATGTTGTTGCCGCGCATTTCATGATTTTAATCGTTGTATGATGTGTTTCCTTGATGGGGGCAAACGTGGCTTGCTTGTGATTGCTCCTCCTCATGGACGCTCTGGATGGATAGACCATCCAATCACCTTCCAGGAGTTGGATTGTTCATCTGGATTGACATACACACAGATATCCATATCTCTGCAGTATACAAGCCCTTCAGAATCAACGAAGAGAGCGCCCGCCGCTTGTACCATATAGGCCATCATATGTTGTTGGATCCAAAAATCAATCGGCTTTGGACGCAAGCCCCTTGTTCAAGCTATCAGTTCGTTTGTTACAATCGCACAGGATAAAAGCTATACCCCTTTGATGGTTTCTCCCTGCTACCTACAATGGTAACCAGCAGCACTGTGATTGAGTTAGAGAACAGATCGCAGCCTCATATAGAATATAATGGACTAAGCCAATACCAATAGTTTAGTCCTAAAATCATGCATCGAAAGCACCTCAGCATCCCATTCTCTTTTTTAGGCCCTTATATTTTTCTCCTTTGGTTAGACCTATGGAAGGACATCTTGACCGCTCCAGGGCCGGCCCATGGCGCTCATGGTCTGGGACACTGGTACTGCAGGTGCTTCTTCCTTTTGCGGACGCGTCTCGGGCGGCCCGGTGTCCTTTGCCCCTCCCAGTTCTTTGTTTGAAGAGTGCCCCGTTTCCCCATTGTTTTACGAGTCGTGCCGTTGTCATGTTCATGATGTGGATGCCCCAGTTCCCTCCCCCCCTGAAATGTGTGCAGTTTTCTGGAATCAAGTACCAAAAAAAGGTACCAATGGTTCCCAGTGTTCATGGATGTTTGCAGAAGTACCAAACACTGTACCCATGTTTTTGGGTTGCGTGGCCACTGGACGTCTGGGAAGAGCCGTTTCAAACAGACTCTCAGGGGAAGTTGCAATCTATGGCTTGCAGCATTTGCTGGCTTGAATGAGTTTCGCAGAAAGCGTTCCATCTATTTGCCTGAAGTGATGTGCGCTCAAGGGAGGCTTGCAGTGCCCCGCGCACCCGAGCAAGTCAGAAGACGGTATGGCAATTTTCACGCAGGAGAAGCGATGTTCTGCTGGCGGAGCGCCGTTGGGGACTCTGAAGTTGAATGTTTGTTTTTGTCTTTTCTTTTGCTCAGTTGGGTCCCGCGCACCCCTACCAGATTGGTTCTCAGAAGCCTTAGATCAGAACTCCTTTTTTTCCTTCGAGCCTCTCCTCTATGGGTCAATAGGGCCAGCCCTTCTGAGCGCGGTGACACCATTGTGTGAGCAACCTCCTTTTGCCGTTCCTTTAAAGGGGACTGGGGGTGTTCTCCAAGGTTGCAGAGTCGTCAGTTTGGTTCGTTGGTCGGCTTCACTTTTTCTTTGTAGGTGGGTCCATTTTTTGATTGCCACCCCGCGCTGGCTCGGGAGGCGAGCAGGTCAGCAACACCCGCACAGCAGACAGCGGCACAGGGAGTCGAATGAACGACATAGAGGCGGGCGTCGCCCTTGTTTTTTGGAAGCCAGACCTCCAGTGCGCTGGTCAGACCTCCAGTGCCCTGTCGTGATTTTGGAAAGGGTTCCTCTTCAAAATCAACCGAAAGAAGGGGTGCCATGGAAATCATGTTGGAAACCACTTGCACAAGGCCCCAAACCATCGTGCTAGATTCGGCTGGGGTCTGTTGTAGGCTTGGTTTCCCAACAGAATCCCTAGTTCCATTTGGGCCAGTCAGAAAACTTCAAAAAAACATTACCTACCGATTTGGAACATCCAAGTCCCGAAGCTCGTGATCTTTAGATGTACCCTTCAACTTCCATGTGCTGAAACAAATCTTCTTCTTGTTATGTTCCCCCGTTGGTTTTAAGGGAATCTATCACTACTGGACATAATTTCTCCTTTTTCGCAGGGGACCAAAAAGCAAATGGAGGTCGCCAGTAACCTTCTCCAACTCCCTGAGCTCCTGGGCTTGACACGTGGGTCTGAGGTCGCCATTTTAGTGGCCGGGAAGCCCCAAGTTCTGGGCTTCTCGCGAATGTAGAAATGCCTTTTCGGGAAATCCGGCCATAAAGGGAGGTCCGCCCATATTGTGTGGATCCATTTGTTTGGGAACGGAGGGAAAACTGGCAGGAACCTTGGGCACCACAACTCTGGTGTGGCTTTGTTCTTCTCCCTGGAAGCATCCCTCGTTTATGTTCTACCCATCGGGAACCCCCCCCTTGGCTTGCTGAAAGGTGAATCTGGCTTCCCCAAAATCAGACGCCCAGAAGCTTCTTGGCCTAGACACAGGAACCCCCTGAGGCCAGCTGCGCGGCACGGGTGGCGGAGCGCTTGGCGAAGCTGGCGGGCCCCAAAAGCGTGGGGGTGCTGTGCCGCTCGGAGTTTCACCGAGATCCGAGTGGGGCGGTAAGGGTGGAATTTTGGTTGCTTGCTTGGTTGGTTGCTTGCGTTCTTGCTTGGTTGGTTGCTTCGTTGCCTGGTTGGTTGGTTGCTCGGTTGCTTGGTTGGTTGGTTGCTTGGTTTGTTGGTTGCTTGGTTTGTTGGTTGCTTGGTAGCTTGGTCGCCTGGTTGGTTGGTTGCTTGGTTTGTTGGTTGGTTGGTGTTCAGCATTCTTCGGCAGGTCAGGGGCCCCTATATTCTCATTGTTGGCGTTTTTTGTTGAACATCAGTTTCCCTCGGCAGGGGTGTTGGCTTCAAGAAAAGTATCAGGAGCCCTGTTGCCGGTTGGTTTCCCTCTAGAAGCCATCAAAACGGGGAGGGTCCCATTTGGCAGAGAGTTTTTGTTGAGGGGTCTCTAGCAAAGCCCCCGGCCGACATTCTTAATGTGGCAAGACTTTCTGGCTCGTTACATACCTTCTTTACACACCTCACATTAACAAAACAGTTAGGCTGGCATGCCCTCGTTACATATCCCGATGCGTGCCCAGACTCTCAGTGATTGCCCATGAGTGCCTGCAGAGCAGACTTTTGCAGAGCATGCTTTCGCTGAAGAGTCAACTTTCAGAGAGATTGCCAAAGTCGGAACTGGTGCTATACCTCGTGACACGCATCGTTACGTAGCCGTTGCAAACCTCGTTACAGACCCATCCCAAGCCCAGGGCAGCGGCCCCCCCTTTCTGCCGTCGTGGCTTGCGTTGAGTTGCAAATTTCAAGCTGGAGCTGCGGAGGCGCGCTTTGCGCACGGTACTTGCACTGAGTAGGAGCTGGAGCTGCAGCACTTTGTTGTTCTGCGCTACTGAGTGCTACAGGTACCTGTCAAGCACGGCTTTCCCGTTGCACGCCTGCGTGACAAGGACCCCATGACACAACTGCGTCACAAGATTTGCGCCGCGATAGAAAACACACGTAGCCACGTTGAGAGTTCATTTTTGGAGCAAATGGGCGCGCCTTCTTTCTGGAGAGCACCCATTTCTGGTCCCGTTGTAGTGAACGACCCTGCAAACAGATTCCAACTTTGTCTGGTTCAAGCTCAATCCGCGAGATCTTTTTGTCATATATACTGACTACCTGACTTCATTGAGTTTGCGCGTGACAAAACAACAAGAGCTTTGCACGAATGGCCATGGACTCTTTGGAATTGAGATAAGCGCCTTTTCTGCGTTCCTGGTCCAGACATGGCTCGGATGGGCGTGTCTACACAAGTTATATTGACCCCCCTTGTAACGCACGCTTGTTTTTGTTGTTCCTAGTCTCCTCTATGTTTCTTCATTTGCCGTCATTTCTGTATTTGTTTCCTTTTTCTGTCACTGTCCTGGTCTTTCTGTATTTGTTCATTTGTTCTTTATTTGTTTCTCTCTTTCTTGATTTGTTTCGTTACTTGTTTATGTATGCTTCTACCTTTTTTTGTTATAATTCTTTTATTATTCGTTTCTTGATTGCTTTATTTATTTCTATATTTCTTTCTTTATTCTGTCTTTTTTCCTTTCTTTTGTTATTTCTTTCTTTCTTTCCATCTTTCTTTATGTCTTTCTTTCATTTTGTTTTCTTCTTGATCTCTCTGTCTCTCTTTCTCTCTCCCTTTTTCTGCTCTCTCTCTCTCTCTCTCTTTTCGGTTTCTCTCTCTCTCTCGCTCTCTATCCCTTTCTCTTCCTTTACCCTTTCTCTTTCTCTCGTCCTCTAACTCACTCTCTCTCTCTCTCTCTCCCTTTATCTTGTCGTTGTTTTTCTTTATAGCCGCGTTTGTTCTGTATTTAGCATGTTACATGTTCTTTATTTTCTACCCCTCTTTATTTATTTGTCTTTCTATTGGTTGAATGTTGTTGAATGTTACTTTGCTCTTGTGTCCTTGTTCTGGGCTATGAACATGGGGGTGTTACTATCAGATGCCATGTCAGTTGGGGGCGGTGCATACACTGATATGTGCTTATGTTGTTTCGTGACAACAGTTGGATGTTCCCCCTTTTGGCGTGATGCTTGAAAAATTCAGAACTTGATGTTGCAAGGGTTTGAGGTATGATGACCATGCTCTCAACCTCAAAACGACCAAGCACAAGGGTTGAAAAGTTGGTCGCGCCTTTTTTCCTCTTTTTCTGAACATGTTTTACCGGGTGCCGCCTTCGCAAGCCTGACGCCTATAGCTGCCAAATAAGTCCCTGAGCCTTTGAGGCTGGTACCGCGCGCAAGTGGTCCGAGTGAGCGAATTGCTGCGACAGAGCGGCGAGGACGTGCACGTCGGCAGTGCGACTGGGTTGGACATGTGGGGGCTGGCCCAAAGCAGGAATCCTTTCTGGTACCCCCTGTAACAGGAGGCACACGGTGGCATTAGGGTTTTAAAAGAATCATATGTTGGACACTCCCCCATGCCGTTTCCTGTGCCGTGTTTGTTTTCTGGAGCGAGGCGTTAAATTTTGACGAGCTCTGCTTGTGAACCCAAATGGGAACCGAAGGTTCCATTTGCAGGCCCAGGATTGTCCAGAACTCTCTGAAATTCTTGGTCCGGGCTGGGTGATGAGGCTTTTTTTTGGAGCTTCTAGCTGCTGATTGTGCAGCGGATTTGCTGAAATCAAGATGGGAGCCCCTTGGCACATTTGTGAGGTGCCAGGGCAGTGCAGCGTAAGAAAGGTTTAGCACATCAGCCAGATGCAAGTGCCCCTTGGCGAAGTTTCAGACCGCGTTTGTTGGGAGTGTCTAGCCCAACAGAGATGCTTCAACCAATCAGAGAGCAACAGGGCTCACTTTTGAAGTGCTCAAGCTAATTCTTTGGCACGGAATCAGAAGGTCGTATGCAACCCGCAAGGCGAAGCCAAAAGTGGCCTTGAATTTGGAACGATCCAGGTGGCTACCGCACAGGGGAGCGAGTGGGACTACGTGCTGCTGAGTACCGTGAGGAGAACATGTCTGTGCATTCCAGGCCCCGTCAACTCCCTTTCCATTCAATGGCAGCGTTTTGGAAACTGTAGGGTTTTTCCATTGAGCCTCCAGTGGATTCCAAATTCCAACATTCAAATTACTCCAAATGAGCACACAAAAAATGTCTAGTTCCTTTTCAACCATTGCAAGTTGCAACTTGATTTGCTACAGGAAACAGGAAAGAAGGTGAGGGGTTCGAACCACTTGACATGTTTCTTTACACTGAAACTGAAACCGCGTGACAATTCAAATGGGTGTCCCCTTTAAGATGTTGTTGTTGTTTAAAAAACAAAAACAAACAACATGTTAGGTTCCGTGGTTCATCCGCAGGGGTGCACTCTCCAGGGCAAACCTAGAAGCAGAGACCGGAGGTCAGGTGTGATTGTCATGAACTGCACAGCTTGATGGCTGTTTGGTAAGGTTCTTTGCACTTATAACTTCTTGGTGGGATTTTCCGAATTGGACCTGCAAAAAGTTCAACCATTTTGCAGAGGGGTGAGAAGCAGCCAAGACACGAATCTCGTCTTAGTGGTTGTATTAGCTCTTGGAACGGTGTCAGGGCTGGTATGTCCAATGCGCGAGGCCCTTTTGGATTGAAAGGTGCTGTTTGGAGAGACCATCGAGAGACCGTCTATTAAAAAGGGGGAAGACATTGGACACACTTGCAACATCATTTCCAGACACCCAGTGAGGTGCTTCCTTTGTTCAATATTGTTTGGAGAAGTCCATTTAAAATCAATTACCAGTACCAAAATAAGTGCGGGCCCAAATGGTCTGGGAACAAAATAATTGGAGGAGGGTTACTCAAGGACATCCCACGTGCGGGACATTGAACGGTGACAGTTGTGAATTGGTACGTGTCAAAGTAAGGAGACCCCGACCACGGTGATTTTTCTTTGAGCCCTTTACACCAAGCTGAAACGGCACCCTTCACAACAAACACAGACACACCACCGACAAAAACACAGAGAGGCAGACAAATTCGCAGCTGGTAGGTGTCCGAAGTAGGAGGTTTTTCAGGGCGCCAAGCACGCATCCGCATCACGACTTAATGTAGTTTTAAAGTACGCTACATCCCCCCAGTCTACATATCAATATATCTGGGCCGTTATAGTATGCAGTCATTGCTTGCCTTTGTGCTACGTTGCTTGTTTGCTGACACATCCCTTTTCAACACTCATTGGAGTGCATAGGAGGGTTTTGGAAGACTACCACCAGCTTTCAAGGAGCTCCTGTCCACTTCCACGATGGTAAAGCTATTTTGCACAACCAAGCCCCCAGAAAGCACACATCCACCAGCCCTCAAGGCGAAAGAAACTTGAAAAGAGGGTCGGCATGGGTGTTCGACTTCAGGCACACCAGAGAACCCTCCCCCCTTTGAGTGCAAGATTAGTTGTTGGGAAGGCCTTCCGGTTTCACAGAAGCAGTTCCATACCGCGGCTTGGGGAAATTGAAGGGAATGGCACCTCTTTGTGCGTTTTTGCTGGGTTTTTGGGATACTTAGGATATCTTGCCATAAGCAGAATGAATCGGGGGCACTCCGACTTGCTCAAGGGGACTCGTCCTTTGGTTGGTTATAACCCCTACAGACCCCCTACAGACGCCCAACCCGTGGCTCCCATTTCCAGGAGAGGTGGCGCGGGCATGAAGGGCCGGCTAGGCGCAGACTCGTGCCGAGTGTTGTGTTCTGTTGTTTTATTTGTTTTTTGTTGAGAAGAAGAAACCCTCTTTGGTTGGTTTCACAACACAGGAGTTCCATCCAGTTTTGACCGGGGGGGGTCCTGAGGCGAATCTCAAACGCTAGGCTCAATGCGCACTCAGGTTCGCCTTTCTTTATGTGGGCCTTTCGGTCAAAGTCACTCCCAATATCAAGCATGAACACGATGGCGGCTTTCAAGTTGGCTAGAGTAGATGATTCACGTTTTGGTGCCCCCAAAACAACATGAAAAGCCAGCTGTCTTGAGAAATGATTCATTATTTTTTGGTGGCACCTGATCTGTGCTGCTAAATTGCGTGAGGTTTTGGGCCTAAGGGGCTGAGTTTTTCCATCCACCCGAAGCAGGATTGTTGGCATGAGAACACCGCAGAACACCCAGGATGTTTTGTAAAAAATAAAACTCGCTTGATCCGCCTTGATCCAAGTGGTTAAACTGCTCTTTTTGTGGTGGGGGGGGGGGGATGAGAAGGGATTGCTCAATGAGTGCACATGTGCAATGTATGGATGCCATGGGATTCAATTTAAATGGTTTGAAATTTGAGCGAGGGTTCCCGAATTAGCGCGTGGACCTTGTTAACTGCTGGCTTTGCCAACGGGCGCCGCAGAGCTATTTGGGCTCCGGCTCTTAGAAGCAGCTGTGGGCATCCATGGCCCAATGGCGTCTGTTGCGTTTCTGGGAGACGCAGCGCATGGCGACATTCACAAGCGCCCTGGTAACATTGGATTGGATTTGTTGTCATTGCAAATTGCCACTGGTTAAATTGGCCAGGCCGGTTCAGTTGAGTTTGATATTATACTACACTACTAAACTACATACATGTACATAGCGTTGCATGGCATCATGCATTTGTTTGTTTAGGCTGCGGGCACTGGTGCGTCCACATTTGCCTGCAGCCGCTCGCCCGCACAAAAAATAGCGCAGTGGCGGCGGTGGTGTCAATGCATGTTTGTTGTTTCTAGTGATAGCGCGAGCACCAAAAACTTGCTTGCAACTCAAACCTTCGCCCCGTTGGGCCCCATTCTGCCCTATTGCAGTCTTTGCACGGAACCCGAGGACAAGGCTGCGGAGGCTGACCAGCTCATTGAGGCTATCGCATCAGCCAATAAGCCACAGAGTCGCAAACTGCTGGTTTCCCGCACCATGGGCGGGAGAGGATACAGCTTGATGGGGCTGATCCGTGCTGTTTGTTGCTGGGACGCAGGGAAGGGTGGGGAGCGCTGCATTTTGATTTGCGCATTCAATCAACCCAGGCTTCTCACTCATGCTGCGGAACGCTGGTAACCTGCAGAAAGCTGTAAAGCACGCGCTGGCGTTGGAATCTTGCCGAAACACAACCGGCATCGCTAAATTGAAAGAAACAGTCTTATATGGTTATGGTTAGTTGGTTTTGCTGTTTGCTTAAAACTTATTTTCTCCGAAGCCAGTCATCAACCAACCGGAATAAGTGCGACCTGTTGGCTGATGGCTGGCCGGCAGTTGTGATTGTTGGGAAGGGCAATGAAGGCAACGAACCAGTTGGCCCTTCCCTTGTCCATTCTGCCCAGCCCAGGTGTTTGACGACACGACTTACCTTCGCCTCCTGCAGGACTTGCAGCAGGTTCCCCACGCTTCGACCTTGTCCCGATCACTCCTCAAGATTGACATTGTCATGTGCCTGCAGCAGGCTTAGTCTTGAAGGGTTGCCACTGCCACAGCGGGCCGGCTACCGATTTCCACCCCTGAATTTCCTGCAAAAAACCTCGGGTTAGGGCCCGGTTAGGGTTAGGACATGACCGGGGAGGAGGAGGAGGCCCCCAGGAGGCCCCATTGAATTATTATGGGGTGTGGAATGAACTGTAGTGGTGATGTGCTGCCCGGCGGGCTGCCGGCTCTTGATTAGTGCTCACATTTGTCAGCTTGCAAGGATGAGGCAACGTCATCTATCACAAGCTGGATGGCGCCAACATTTCTTGAGCTTGGTGACGGACGCAAGCCCCCAGGCGGGGCAGGACTACCAGCTGACACAGATGGAGAAGATTTCCCTCGAAAAGTAGCTTGGCTTCCGTTGTTAAACTCTAAAAGGGCTCCTGGCTCCTGCGTCAAGTGCTTCATGCCACTCACGCCACGCCTGTCGCATCCTGCTGCGCTGGACATTATGTTGTGTAGGTCTGTCTGAGTCTGACCATGCTTGTTTTAAGCAAGCTCAGCTCAACTCAACCTCATGTTGTTTTGGTGCCAAGTGCCAAATGACTCAAAAAGCTGCTGAGTCATCACTATCCAATCAGCGTTTACTCGTACAAAGAAGGGCGCACACCAGGCCCCCGCCAGCATGAGGAACTGTGTCACGTCCGTCACGGAGTACGTGCGCAAGTGCATGGAGAGCAATGAGGCCATGCTGGGCTCGGCGCTCCTGGAGTCGGTCGCCGACTGCGTTGACTGCTGGCGGTGCACGTCATCAGCTTAGGTGGGGAATTGGCCGGCGGGCGGCGTGACAGTTCACGGTCATTGTTCGAGGTTGTTGTCTAGGGTCGCGCTGCCCTGACATGCCGGACATCCAATCTCCAGTCAAGTCAAGTCTAGCCCGGAGTCCGGCCAATCCGTTCCTCCCAAAATCGAGTTTGACTGCACCTCAGTGCAGTGCAGTGCCATGGTTGGTTTAGTGGCTGGTGGGTGTGTCATTCGCTATTCCTGGTTATCGCCTTTTTTGGGGTTGGTTTAAACGGAAGAGAAAGGGTCGCTTTCTGTGAGCATTGTGGTGTGTGGTGTGGTGGGGTTCTTTCCAGAAAGGGGCGTTTTGAGTCTTTGAGTGGTCGTGAGTGTGAGCGTTGGGAGACGTCACCCGGCACTGGGCACCCTCTCAAAGTTCCTTTCCCTGGTTCCCGGTTTTCTCATGGGCTATGGATTTAGATTGGCCAGCCAGCCAACTCAGCCAACCCTCCATTTTGAACAGCCCAGCAGCCCAGCAGAGGCTAGTTCTGGAGTTTTGGGGTCAATGTGTGTTGAGTTAGCATTTCTCTTGACTCTTAATGGGACGCGTCCCGTTTGATTTTCTTGGATGCTATTGATAGGTTCATTGGCAAATTTGAGGCAATTAGGTTCCTTGACTCCTTGTTTCCTTGGCTCATGGGTTTGGACCGGACTTATTGGCTCATTGGGTATTCCTGCACTCCTGGACTCCTGGACTCCTGGACTCATGGACTCATGGACTCATGGACTCGAGTTCATGGTGTTATGAGTTAGGACGTTATGTTAAGTTAAGTTATGAGATAATATATGTTCTTGTCTATATTTGTTCGCTCGATGCATTGGTTCGCTGCGCGGCGCATAGATTCCCGGATCCGTGGTTTGATTCGTTGTTCCAGCGATTCATTGACTCTGCTGTGGATCACGGATACATTGGTTCATCAGTTGAGTAAGCATCTTCGGGATGGGGTGAGGTGAGAAGCGCTTCCTTTGCCGCATTTGCCCTTGGCCCTTGGCCGCCTTGGTCCTTGACACCCTTGTATTGAATTTTCGGCCCCATCACTTTCACCCGCCACTGGCCACCACCTCACCATCCCTGTGCTTTTTAAGGCCATGCGGCCTGGGATCCGGATGCACGAGCCTTCCGTTCAAACTCGGGGCGCTTCTTCATCAACTTCGCCTACAAGTTGGGTCTGACTCATTGAAGGTCGCTTCCCTACGGGTTATTTCATTCTTATCAGACTTTGGCACTGAGTCCAGGATCCCCGCTGCAACTTGGACTCGGACTCGAATTCCCAGTGAGATTTCATGTGCATGTGTTCTTTTGGTGCCTCTCAACTCTCGAACAACGATACCCGGGTCGGACGGGTGTCCAAAAGCGATGCCGGCCCAAAAAAAATACAACCTGAGAAATCCTGAGAAACATATTGAACAGCGATCCGGGACTAACGTCGCAATGAATACACCGTAATACATTTTTCGACTAATTTTGGCGCTGACTGATGTTGGATTGCTGCGTTGCCTTGGTTGAGAGCTGGCTGGAGTAACAGTTCAGGTAGCAAGTTGACCAGCGGCTGGAGGGGATGTGTAGGTAGATGGAGAGAACAGGGGGCCAGGGCTGAGGGTGATCGTGTGATCAGCTAGTGCTGTTCCAGTTCCCAGCTCGCACGTTAGTTTTATTGTTCCTGATTTCCGAGGCAAGCGGTGTGGACTTCGCTGCGCTGACAGAAGGGGTGTTCTGCGAGAGCACATGCTTGGCCCGCGGTGAGGCGGGTGATTGACCAGTTAAGGCGAAACACGTCATGGTTCAAGTTCAGAAGTTCAGAACAGAAGAGAAGGTCAAAGTTCAGCAGTTATAGACGTAGGCCTCTGATCTAAGATGAAAGTGAAGGTCACCACTACTGGATGGGGTTCCCTTCGCTATGCCACAGTGCGGCAAGTTGTTGGAGGGTTGTTGAGGTGCGGGTCGTGGCCAGTGGGCCGTGGGTGGATTGCATGTTATTGCACATTTTGGTTATTTTGGTTGGTTGGAAAGTTGGACACACATGAGAATCTCATTGGATTCGATTGACTGTTGACCGTCTGGTCGTGTGCCGTGTGCCCCCTACTAGTGTTCTAACATTCTAAGCCAGGACTTTGCACTTGGACTTGAACCAGCCACTGTTAGCTACTGTTGTTGCAGGTGCTGGCAGGAACAGCTGCGGCGCTGGCAGCCCAGGCTGAGGTGGTGGCAGCAGCGGAGGTGGAGCAAATGCAGCACCTTGCGCCGCTCCTTCCATGGGATCCTCAACAAGAAACCTGGCCCCGGCTCCTGCCTTTTGCAATAATGGTGCCTGGGGACCCTTGACTTACACATCGCCAGTCATTTTCCGAAGTTCCTTCCTTTACCTGATTTCTCAGCGAGTTAGCATCAGCCGCCCTGTCCCTCAGACTCAGGTAAAACATATTTGCCACAATGCGGCCCAGGATATCATGTCCATTTTGCCGCGGTTTGAGAAGT